TAATAACTCAGCTCTTTTATTTATTCATTTTTATCTCATTTCATTATTATTCTATGTTAATTTGCTTTATTTTTCTTTTGATAATGATTTAAATGTTGTAATGCTGTGTACAAAAGCTGCTATACAAAGAAATTGGTGCAAAAATAAGTCTAAAAAATAAATATTAAATGTTTATTCAAAAGCTGAGTGGGAAGAAATCATATTTCAAGAAATCATAACTTTGTATTTGAAGCTATGTTTTCTTTTTTTTCTTTTTTTATGGTTTTGGTCTAAACAGCAATAAAATAACTCCAAAGTTATTCTTTAATAATGTCGATGCACAAACTGAGCAGGAAATCAGTTATTTTGTGGTATTAGATGCCTTTTGTTTTTCTTTTTATATGAAATTATAACTTGTAAAATGACATTTCGCCTTCAGAACACACAAAAAACATCCGTCCTGCTCCAGAGGAAATGAGAAATTATCATAATAGTTTGCTGAAACCACAATCTCCTTTTGGCAAACCAAATAAGATGTTAACAATTAATGTGTTTACATCAATAAAAGATCCTAAGAACAACTTGTTTTAAGCACAGTGACTATAACTGGCCACAAAAACAAGGACATGTGTGGAACTGAAGATAAAATAATCCCCAGGCACTGATCATACACTGGACTTTCAGAATAAAACGCTACAGTACATCATCATGAAGCACCATTAAAATACATTTCAGCTGAAAAAAGACATCGTCTGTGTGTCTGAGCAAATCACTTCCTCCTCTTCTTCTTTTTGTGTTTTTTTTTTTTTAACAGCGTGAAGAGCCGTGGCGTGCAACACATGAAACAGGCTCGTCCGGTCGGTTTACAGATCTGAGAAAACTTTACAGCTACAGGATCAACACAGGAGCTGTGAGGAGTCTCAACACCGATACGTGACGACAGCGTGTGGATCAGCGGCAGCAGCAGAGGTGACAGGAAAATGAGAAACTTACAAAACATTAGAGTATTATAGTGAAGGTTACACCGAGAGAACTGGCATGCAACTCTACGAACGACTGTTTCACTACTGCATGCAGTCAGCTGAGGTGGTTATCCTGAGCGTGCCCAGTTTACCCTTCAGTGAGGGATCATCACTTACTGCTGCAGAGACACACAGAGAGCTCCTTCACATATTTACATTAAAACTGCACTTTAGAAGAAGACGTACGTACATACAGTTCGTACAGTAGTTAGAGCCTCGACGCCCCTTTACGTCCTTATTCCTCAAAACAACAAACCATCCTCAAATCACTGTAACAGTTTGTTGACCAGGTTAGTAGCTTAGTAACTAAAGCTTTCACCATTCTCATCAAGCCCCCGGAGTGTGTTCACGTGCACACTAGTATCCCAAGTAATGCTCAGGTCTCGGGGGGCCTCCTGTTGTGTGTGGCTCTTGTAAACATCTCATTAAACTTCTATGAGTCACACATGCCCTAAAAAGACAACTTAGACTCAAAAAGCCTGTTGTTATTATTTCAATTTTTTACAAAATTTTAGTTTAATTTGTGGAAACTCTGTTAGAAATCAACAAGAATATATATATGTGTGTGTGTGTATATATATATATATATTATATATACACACATACAGGTTGGTAACAAATTAAAGAAATGAGTGGAGAAATGAAATGAAACAGATGTAGATGCTTCCACACAGTTGTCCTGCATGGTACAATTACACAGTTAATATCCCATCATGCTTTACTCTCTTTTTTTCCTCTTTCTTGTCGCTGATGTCGTTGTTCCGTTGTACAGTATGATCTTATGAGTTTCCTCGATAATTGTGTTTGCATCATTATTATGATAAAAAGGCCAATAAATATTCTCTGTGGCAAAAACATCCCATCATGCTCTGTGGCAGGCGTAATTTTCAGGTCTTATTTTGTTTCAAGATGGAAAGAAGAAAAAGATGGCGGGGGCACAAATGGCACGGAGCTTCAGTCACAAGTGTTTCCATAGGAACAGAGACTAAAGTGACATCTGCATGTAGATCTGTGAGAAAGACGTCAGTAAACAGATGGCGCACATTTGATGACGGTGATGCTTGTGCATTAGCGTTTAGTGCATTAGTGTGATATGTGAGGACAAACAGAGGAGCAGCTCTTCCTCAGCTGGCTGAGAACGTCAATGCGGGGACGTGATCAGACTGTGTCATTACAAAAGAGGTGCAAAAACTATCGGCACATCTCTACAGAGATGAGGACAGAGGTGAAAGAAGTAGAAGCTTCACCGACTTCCATGGAGAAAGGACCGACATGGTTTTGGGTCCCGTTGTTTCATTAGAGGGAAGAGTTAGTCATCGGAAATCAGTACAAAGTTTTTCTGAGTGATCACTTTTATCTCATGAGATATTTCTATCCTGATGGGAGGGGTCTCTTCTAGGAGGACGAGGGGTCACTGAATGGTTTGAAAAGAAGGAATAAATTTCTACATAACTTCAAAAACATGCCGGTTTTTGACACTTAATAAAATAATACCTCTCCACTTACTATTTACAGAACATGCTGTTTACATTTCTGAAATCCATTGTCAAACGCATGAAGCCACCAGCCTCCGACAGTGAGGTGCTGCTCTAAGACCAGTGTTTCTTCAAGTACCTCTGAGCCTTCGACTCTCTCTCTATATCTAATCAATATAAATCAGTTTCACTCAGTTTCAGGGTAAAAACCTTTGATCTCCGGTTCATTTCAAACCCTCACGTTCGAAATCTCTCGCAAACGAAATCACTGTAATTGAATCAGACACAGCTGTGCCACTCACATTTCGTCTCACACAGACAAGACTATCCTGCGCTAACCTGCAGACAGCTGACCTCCCACATCACACTCTGATATAAGGATCCGTCTGCAAGCTGCACACACAGCTGTCAGCATCATCCTCATGTGCTGTTGAAGCCACTCGCCCCTGGGCTTTCATCTTCCTCCTCTGTAATCAACACCTCCTCATCGCTCCTCACAAAACAGAGACTCCCTGAAGCAGACAGTTCACACACACACACACACACTCCCAGAGATCAACGAGCCTGCGAGCTGGTTACAGACACACTTCACCATCCTGACAGGCAGCCAGACAAACTCCTGACACCTACCTGCCGAACCGACGGAGGTGTAAATATCTGTGATTCTCTGCAGAGACGTGATGACGGATGGAAACGGGGAGCAGGGACAAAGCAGGGAAACATTTAACTGACTGTTACAGAGCGTCTGCGGCGCCCACTGAGTTCAGGTTTACTCTTTTTCAGACCTCTGGTGAAGGGTGTTTTAAATTTTGTCACAAAAAAAACTTCTGCATGACTGGGTTTAATTTTCAGGAGGAATGTATCAGACTGAGAGGGCAGGCCATGTTTTATATTCTTAAGGCTGCACCAAAATAAACTCAAAGATCTAGTTTTTGTGAGTCCAGCTTTCTCTGGACAGCGTTCTACACAAAGTTTGGGATTTACTTCGTCATATGTCTCAATCCCAATTGAGTTTGTTCGAATGTGCGAAAATCTACAGGCTCCAAAATATTCCCCCGATATTCTTTTAACAAACAAATCCAGTGTGTGACACCAAATAACCTGCTGGCATTCTGCAGGAGGTTACTCAGGGTCACTGTGATCTTACTCTGCGGGACGTTGGACATGCAGAAGAACGAGAAACCTGGTCTCTGTTATAGCGGGAGCAGTAGCAAATTAGAGAAACCTGATTTCCCTCCTGAGGTCCGCCTTGAATGCGCTGCACATGCTCGCTGTCTCTCTGCTTTCCCGCCTCCAGTTTCCTTTTGCGATGTCATTGGATGCCGCTAAACGCGTGTTTCTGACTTGTCTCAAAGATACTGCAGCTACAACAGCATGGTATATTAAACTTGTAACATCTGGGGTCAGCTAACAACAAGATGGAGACTTGTCTCTGTACGACCCGTGGTGACACGCACGAGTCCAGATTCTCCAACTCAAACCTCAAAAATGTTTGTGACAACTTGAGCGAATCGCAGCACAAGTTGAGCCTCCTGCACTCGACTTCAGTTCGTTATGTTACTGGGAAAATTGTATTTAAACCCAAGTTTCACTCCTGGTAAACATCTTTAAGACTGCAATCATCATCCAGATCATGGGTGAGACGCAGCCAACTGCTGGGAAATCTGAGAAAAAAATAAACATTTAGATTTTGGCTGGTGTAAGCTACAGTACATTATGTCTTTTCCTCCAACTGCTGGTCATATTATCAACATGGGAAACTGAGAACACTATGTGTGTTAATGATGAGCACAACGTTTCTGACTAAGGTGACTGCAAATTAAAAACAGACATTGATTTCATGATTCGTTTTGAGGAGTGAGTAAAGGGTCAACAACAAGTAACTTCCACTGGCTCTAAAGACATCAGCTGTAAACACAACGGCACTTTAAGGCATCATAAACTGCGGGGTGTACTGCAGTGCAGCCTTAAAAGTTGGATTCAAGATATTGACGGTGTGTAAAACAACTTCAGGGCCTTCGATACTACTTGTGGTTGAATCTAAAAATCCTCACACCCTCAAGATTATCAAGCAAAATCATCCGTAACATCAACGACGTTTTCAGCTTCGTGCTGGAAACATCTCCACAAGTTCACTTCCTGTGCACACAGGGGGTTAAAAACCAGATCTTTTAATGTCTTTTGCGTGTTTGTGTGTGTCCCGCTTTAGTCTGGTAAAATAACCCCCCCTTTTTACACACAGACCTTAAAATTGTCGCTGGAAAAATAAGTCCGGTTGCATTCCAGCGGCAGAGGACGGAGGCCGTGTGTGGGGAGTGGCAGCGCGTGTGGTGAGCCTGGTAACGACTGAGGAATGAGGCTCTGGGATGAGGAGTAACAGAAAAGGCTCGTGTGGGAGGTTTTCGGAGATGACACACACAACCTAAAATGGCTGTGTGAAAGTGATGAGAGACAGACGATGAACGGTGGGAAATGTGAGATGGAGAAACAGAAAAGAATGAAACAAAATCAAACAAAAAGAAACTCAGGATCAACCATTATTTATTCAACAACTTATGGTTAATTTTGTAAATGATGTTTTTTTTGTTTTGTTTTTTACATGAACACTTTGATTCGTGTTTAAAAAGAAAAAGAAAAATCTGATGTTTTTCATACATTTGAGATTCAAGTTAAAACTGAAATCAAATCCAGTATCTGCTCATTTCTTGTGCAACATTTGGATGAAAAAAAAAAAAAAAAACAACTTTGGAAAATCTGATTAAATAAATAAATAAATAACATGACAATTATCTCAAAACAAAAACTCCAATATATGCTATAGCTTATATCTGAGTCAATGACTAATGTTTTTTTGTTTGTTTTTTTTTAACATTTTTAAACTTTAATAAAGAGATTAAACTGCAACGTGTCGTCTCACCTTTCAAACTGGGTAGAGATTTTTCCTGATTTAAGAATCTGATCTGGAATATGTTTTGATAACTTTGTTTGGGGTTTAATGTCACGTAAACTGAGCGCGGCCGCTGAACTGAGGCTTTTCTAAACCTTTATTAACAGTGTACGACTGCACACTCTGGCAATGGAAAGACGCAAAGTCCAATTTAAGTCCAAAATACGCGTCTGCAATGAGCCAGAAATTTGCGTGTGTTTGTGTGTGAGTTCAGTCAGAGGCTGAGCTGAACGCAAACACACACAAACACACACACAGATACTGTACACTCCCACAGACATGGCCGCTGTGCTGGTTGCTAGCTAGCTTTATAGCTACTGTCTGTGTAGTTGGTCAAATTTGAGGCAAAACTTGGCTTCACTTTCTGCCTGAATACAACATAAGTATAAGTTTTCTGTGTAAATGGTGGTGGCTGACCTGTTATTTCAACTATTATTATTAGCAGTTAAATAGTTTATAATATATGTGTAGGCTTCAAAGACTTAGTATGAACCCGAGAGGTCTGTATCTGCAGACACAGGCTCTGACTCCGCATCATGTTTCCCTGGCATTAAAAATGTTACTGATCCTGTTTTCAGTCTCCAGCTGCCTAAACTCTCCTTCTTTACTTCCACTGAAAGAGAAAACTTTTCATATATTCTACAAAAAGTAAGCTGGTGCAAAAAAGTGGGTACATCTGTCCTCAGAAAGTCCATATAATCAACTACAAGCACGTCACCCCCCAAAATAAACAGAGCATCAGCCTGATATCAAGAAGAAAAGCAGAATCCACAAGATACTTTCTTGGTTTTTCAGTTTCACCATCCACTTCCTTTTTCTAATTAACATATATTACAATATATTTTTTTAACAAATTAAACACCTCAAAAAGAGAGAAAAACAAAATAAAATAAAAAAAAAAGTACATGATGCATAAATGACTTATTGCTCTAAATATTTGTTCTTCTAGTTCACAAACTCCTCGAGCTCAACAGGAATCTTTTAGGACGGTTTGTGTCGTGGTTCACGACACAGTTCAGTTTCCCTGCTGAAGCCACGTCAGACTGAACATTCACACCCTGAGTCCATCAAGTAACACACACCTACTGTATCAAAAATGAAATAGTGCATTTACAGAGTGGCAATACTCGGCAGATAACGGGCAAAGAGAAGGACAGCGAGCTACGATCGGCCATTATTTCCTACTACTCGACTAAAATGTCAAAAAGAAAAAAATCACTGAAAGAATAAAGCAAGGCAGAAAACAACTCTCGTCCTGGTTCCTGAACTGGCTGACAATGAAAAACGACTGATTTAAGTTCACTGTCAAAAAATGCTTCTCCTGCCAACTGCATCTCTCCGCTCCCTTAGCTCGACTTCTTTCTTTTTTTTTTTTCTAAAGACAGCAGCAGCTTAAACAGCACAGAGCAACGCTGCTGCCAGCGGTGAGCCGTGAACTCTGCTCCACTCCTCGCTCTGATGCCGAAGACGAGGACGCACAATCATCGACTACCGTGCACGGCGGCAGAGACCTCCGTTTTGTTTTTGAGGCTGAGAGATGTCTGTGTTTGGGAGATACGTGCAAACAGTCTTTTCAGCGACTGGTGTGTGGCGTTCTTCTGATTTTCATATCAGGGTTTCTACAGGTTTTTCTATTTCAAAACGTAATTATTTTTTTCCAGGATTCCCTGAATGTATTTGAAGATTTGACAGGTTTTCATATATCATAATCACATCCTGGCTGCATGAGGGAAATATGACTGTCACGTCATATCAGTGACTTTATGGCTAAAATACCAAAATTCTTCTTGTTTAAGTTGTTTACTGAAAATGCCAAATACCTTCTGCGTCCAGCTTTTCTCTGTTTCACATCACTGTGGAACTGAATATCTTTTGGGTTTTAAACCACTGGCCGAACAACAGAGTCTATTTTAAGACGTCACAATGGAGCTGTAAAATTGTAATAAATGCTTTTGTCCATAATAGAAATTTAATCAGTGAAACATCTTGATTAAGCATAAAAAAATTATAAACATTAGCTCGTTTCAGCTTCTGAAATATGAGGATTTGCTGATTTTATCTATTCTACATGATTGGTTTGGATGACTGAACTAAACGAGCCTGAGTGAAAATAATCACGCATTAAACAACAAGAGCTTTTCATATTTTCCACATCTCCTTTCTTGCAGGCGTTGACACCAAAAAACACGACTGCAAAGATTGTGTTGTTTGAGGGACCAGTGAGAAAATAAAAGGCCAGACTGTAGGGCTGTAACTAATATTTCCATTATCAATTCATCTTAAGATTATTTTCATGATTCATTGATTAATCACTTGATGTAGAAAAGAGTTTCCTGGTATCTGCGGTAACGTCTTCAAATAGCTTTTTTTTTTATTGTGCAACCAACGGTCCAGACCCAAAGCTGTTCAGTTTACTGTGATGTAAAAACAAAGAAAAGGAACTCGCACTGCTGAAGGTGGAACTGGTGAAATGTTTGGCTTGAAAAATAAAGACAATGATTGTCAAAATAGTTGCCAATTCACTTTCTGCCGAATAACGAATCAATCATTCGACTTATCTCCACCAGACTGAGCTGAAGACAAGTGTATGTTAAGGTTGTTAAAACAGCATAACATTGCACATTGGCTTCTTGACCTTTGACCCCCTGAATGCCTAGAAACAGTGGCACTGCCGCTGGTGTACACAGGGGCCACAAACGGCACCCTCTCCTGCCGAGTGTAATCGAGAAGTTGTCACAACGTTCCTCCGACGTGTTTACACTGGCTGCTGATTTATTCGGCGGAGAGCATGCCATGTCCCGCCCGGAGCGTCTCTAACCTAAACACAACCCTTCAGCGGCGCTGGCTTTGGCCCATGTATGGGGCGAGTGTTTACCCAGCGCCCATCAGTCTGACTGGTCCCAGGCCAAGCAGAGCCCTCGCCCTGTCAGGCAGCGCTGGGTCCTGACCGGGACAGCGCCTGATGGAAGACGGGCAAGCTCTTCATCATCCGCACGTACGACAGCGGATTCCGGGAACGGATTAAAACGGAGCGTCGCCCACTCAGCGTTATCTCAAGTACCACTCCGTCATCTCTGTTTACACCTGAGCCCTTCTCTAGTTACTGCGGAGGAATAACAGAGGGCTGGCCACGACCACAAACTAACAGTCAGTTCTGTTCAGCAGATAGAGGTGGATCAAACGTTTGCTGTGGGTTCACGCTGCAGGCAACACGACAAACAACATTTCCCTCAGAGCTGAGCCGCCTGGCTTTCTTCATAACCAAACGATTAACCAAACATCTGCCTTCTAATCAATGTGAAATTGATCAAAGCCTCCCAGTTTTTCCAACAAAAGCCTCTTATTTGATCCATTACAGGAGGAAAACCCAAACATGAGGTCAGTTAAGCTGTAAAATAATGCATTTCTATTCCAAAAGATAATGTGCGGGCAACACTTTGGGCATTTTTCTTGCTTTTTTTGCGTTTTATAATTTGAATAATTAAATAAACAAATCAAATATGATCAAAATAATCATTAGTTAACTGGAATATGGTGTCAAAGTAGCCGAAAATACGACTGGCCAAGCTGCCTGCAGTGTGAACACAGAGCTGAGTATCTGACTCCAGTATTATCTCTAATCACCTCCTCCTGAGGAAAACTTGTTTCCAGTCAACACACATTCATTGCTACAGTGCAGAGAACAAAAAAAACGAGGACTCAGGTTGTATGTGCCTAAAATTCAAACTACCTGATCTAACGACTGAATTCACCTTCATCCCAAAAACTATATTACATCAAGTGTGAAGAATATCAGAGCTCTGCTGTCTTCTTAAAAAATACACAACAGTGTATAATCCACAACATGGGCGTCAAGAGAAGGCCACTTTGCATTTAACCTCTGAGGGTTATCGTGCTACTCGTGCACAAGAAGCTGCTTTCACCCTCCGACCAGACGACCTCCCAACAGCCGACGACTGTTTCCTGAAACAGAAACTAGTAAAAAAGAAAAATAAAACTCTACCACGACCCACAGCGACCACTGACTTATATCTGGTTGGTGCGTTTGTTTACGTGTCCCTACGTTGACTGTGAACCTCCCTGTTCATAAAGTATCAGTCGGGCTTTATTTTTTATGGGGATGTTTGTTGATTTTTCGGAATAATCAGAATCTGTTGTTAAATGTGCCTCAGTGCAACTTTGGCATTTTACAGAGAGCTACAACGAACACGGGAATAGACGTGAAGACAAAAGATTAATACAAAATGAAAAGAAAATTACAGTACAGACATTTTTTAACGTTGATGTTAGATGTTGCTAACTTCACTCATTGGCTTTTCTAGGCAAAACAGCAACACTTCTGCAGCAATAATCTTTTTCTTTTTTATTTCAGAGGGTGTGATGACCCTAAAACTGATTTTTTTTTTCATTATTGTTAGAATGCATATATAGCATTTGTTAATTTTGTTAATTAATAATTTCATGTTTTTTTAATTCATTTTTAGGAATTTCTATGTTGCGTCTAACAACGTCTTTGGTTGCACTCACCATTTAAACATTCCTATAGCCAGCAATAAGCTTCCTGTCCAGGTACAATTCAGAGAACATAACAAGTGACTTCACAACATGGGAGTTTGATGGAGAAACAAAATAAAAGAGGAAAAGAAACTGAGTGGAATGACGTTGATGACGATGATTTTTTTTTTTTTTCTTTACTGTGCAAAGTTCAGAAATGATCTATCATTTCTCTGAGATGATGACATGAATGAAATGAAAGGCAAGACGGTTCACCTCAAACTTTAAATAATATATCTCCTAATATATTTTCCAAAACATAATTTTTGATGAATTTTTCAACCTTTTGCCAACTTTTAAGTCGGGAGAACTTAAACCACGTCTTCATGTCATTCTGTTCCCCCTGTATTAATAAGTGCTTGAGTCAAATGAAACAAAACCAAATATCAACATATGTTACATGATCAGTCCAGAAGAGTTTAACATAATGGCAATTTAAGTGTCTTTTTGATTTTGTGCATTTTAAAGGCAATCAGCCTCCTATTTTCATTTTTTTTTAACTGTTTAGTCGGAGCTCGATTTCTGGTGAAATTACATTTTGAGAAGGGAGCTGTTACCTTTTTGACTTTTCTCTCCAGATCCATCTGGTGTCCGCAGTTTTCTGTGACCGCGTACTAGCCACGAACTTCTCAACAATATATATATCTTTTTTTTTTTTGCTGTGTGTCCTTTTAGGAGAAATGAGTTAGCTGTTGAGTGTGGCTGCTTGCTCCTTCTCCGCCTTCTCTTTGGCCTTTTCCTTCTCCATCAGCTTCTCCTCCTTCTGCAGCATCACCATGATGTCGGCCACCTGAGTGGTGGAGATGTCGATGTCCTCCTTGTCGATCAGTTCCACCACCTGAGGGGATAAAGCAACACACGGGGAATTCATTAAAAGCTTCGGAAAGACTCGGTGTTAAATCTGAAGCATTTCTATATGATTCATTTTAAAAACTTGGGGCTAAAGAAAAAACAAAAATTTATTTTTAACTTTTATGAACAGTCAAAAATTCTCACTTAAATGTTACAGCTCTGATTTTGATACGTAGGGCAAAAATATTTTCCTTTCTATAACAGCTTATGATTAATGGCCCAACCAGTCATTTTTGACTATATAAATCAAAGGTATATTTTATATTGGATGGAAAATCAATGTATTGCTTCTTAATTGAAATTACAAGCCTATTTAGAAAGAAATCCTAAACGTCACTCTTTTAATAAAACAACCTTTTACAAACCAAAACATTAAAATTGTTATTATGTGTCGTTTAAAGCATGAAATTAATCATATTAACCAATTAAATTACTAATAATCACTAGCAGCATTACCCCAAATCCACATGTTAAATCCTGATGTTAATTACTGTAAATAATCATCAACATAATCCAGATTTAACAAACGACAACAATAAATGAACGATGTGTTCACAGCTAACTAACGAACTAACTCTAATGTTGTTTGTCTGTCACAAAACTCAGAAAGAGCTAAGCTAGTAACTAAAAAAATACAAAACGAAAACTACAACATAAATGGGGAAAGTCGCACTGTCGACGCACTTTGATGACGTCGTCGATGTCGATCTTCCCGTCCTTGTTGTCGTCGAGCGCCTCGGCGATGCTCTGCAGCTTGTGCTCTGGAATGTTCTGGATCTGCCGCATGACGTTGATCAGCTCGTCGATGCTGATCAGGTTCTCCCTGAAGGTGTAGAACAGACTGTATACAGGAAACGGTTACCAGGTTTGACCGCACGTAAAATGTGGTGGAGAAAGTCTAGAGGTCAGGCCCAGATCACACCAATCAAACTGATTTTAGAGTTTCATTTCTTTTTTTTAAATTTACAGCAGGTTAAATTTGGACAGAAGGGTTCAATCATGCCTAAATGCAGTGCAGCACACTTCACACTAACAGATTCACTGATTTATTCTTAAAGCTGATATATATTGTGGCACGAGGAATAAATTAGTCTTATATTAAGGGTGCTTTCATTCACAGAAATATTTTCTAGTAGATTTATAAATCAAGAATTTTAATAAAGCTCATACTTGTTCAGCCTCATTAAAGGTCACAGATCTCTGACACAGACTCACACAGTCTGAATTACCTTTCAAATCAAGCAGCTTAAAAGTCAGATCTTTGTATTTCAGGTGATTTCATTCATTAAGGGATAAAAACTGTTTAGTAAAATTGGAGCACAGCACTCAGTGGGCAGCACCTCGGAGTGGGGAGGAGAAATGGAAGCTATGGATAAGGTGAAAGCAATGACTGATTCCTTTTTACAGCACAATCTCAGCAGCTGATGGTCAACAACCATAATGCAGGATTAGCATCGGGCAAGCAAGCAAATGGCGGTTTACCACAATGTGTCTTACCTTGTGGCATCACTAGCTTTTGTAAAGAATAATCTGTAAAATTTTAAATTAATTAGGAGCTGGATTTGGTCTTAAACATGTGAACTAAAACAATTATTATCAATTTAGTTTTTTTCTGGGGAAACCTTTGGTTCCTTGTTTTATCTCCACCACCATTTTACAGTGAAAGTAATGATGATGATGAAGATTATGGAGATGATGAGGATGATTGTTAGAAAAACAACAAACATCACGTATACATAAAATTAGGATATCAACAAATTAAAGCACATTATCAAATTTTTAAATAAGAAATAACTTAAAGCTATAAATGTTATGTCATGGAGAGATGAGGTAAACAATTCATAGGCAACATTTTGGCCAGACTTTTTGAGAGCGATCATAAAACACTGTCAAACAGGCGCGAGCTTTGCCTCCTCAGACAGAACTGCCTGCAGAAGTTGCACAGTAGAGACTTGAATTATGAAACAGCAGCACTGGCTGCTTGTTGGAACAACGGCCGACAAGAAATCTCCTCCATTCGTGCGAACAGTGACTGTCCTCGACATCAAAACGTTGCCTTTGCATCATTCACTTTCAAAAGCTGCACAACCTTCACAGACACAAACACCACAGACCTGAGAGATGGAGCGGAAGCCATGAGAGACGGGAAAGCTTCAGTCTCAAGGGGAATAGTTTGGGTTTGTCTGCTTTCTCTCCAGAAGTGAGAGGATTGGACAGGTGTGATAACAATCTTATTCAATATATTGTGTTAAATTAGTGAATCCTTTAAAGGGTAAAACCCTCATAATGCCTCAGGTCTTTGCTTCATTAGCTGTGGCATCACTACACTGTCGCACAGCAGCGATGTGGAACGGAGCTGTTTGCGTATTGTTCTAAGCTTCAGCTGACAGCAGCGCAGTGGGGAGAACGACATGTTTGGCTCTTACCCAACAGGTGGCGTGGTTCCACTGTCCATCTGTCCGTCCAGGATGACCTTGTCCTTCTCCAGCTCCAGGATGATTTTGTCGATGCGACCGATCATGCGGTTCACTCTCTTGGACAGACGCTTGCTCGCCTTTGACTCTTCCACCGTCTTCTCCTGGCCGCTCTTAGAGAGCTCCTTCTTTATTTCCTCCAGATCCTGGACAACACACATCACAGAGACACAAATTAAAACACAGAAAGAGCATTCCCAGGCTCGCAGAAGCACACTACACGCTTTCCTTATTGTCCATTCTGAGACAAGCTACTCAGAAACCTTTGATTTGAACAGCAATACAGCTTGACCCTCATCTCCCTACAGTAGTTACTGTCACAATCAGGCACCTCGTTGTATTCTTGGACGTCATCTTTCAGTTCCTCCAGCTCTTCTTTCTCCAGAGTCAACAGCCTCTTTTGCTCCTTCAGCTTTGAGCAGGCATCGCTCAACAGGTCAATCTCTTCCTTGGTGATCTCCTCGCCCTGAAACATGAACATACGATTGAAGAGATTTGCTCCAAAGTATTTGATTATCACTGCTTGGATAAAAACATTTGTCCTTTTTAAAAACACACCAATATGTAATTTGAAGCAAACTAAATTAAAACCGCTTTAAAGACTACTAAACACAGTAGCTTATGGTCACATTTTCCCCTCTAAAATGGTCGTATGTCACTATAAACCCCAGTTACATTGAGTCAAGTGTGTTCTCTTAACAGGAAACACATGTTCATTTAATATAAACCCACATAAGAGACCAACCCAAACACACAAAATGGTTAAAAGAGGGAAGCTAGAGAGGATGTCGGGATACTCCCCATAACCCAACAACATGTTACCACAAGATGGAGGGAACTGTGTGCAGCTACAAAGGGAAGAAAAGGTTCAACTCGGCCAGTGACACTGCCTGGGAGGATAGGCAGGGAGTACAGGAGGAAAAGTCCATACAGATGTGGGTCAAACAGAATTTGCAAATCATATTTAGCATTTGTTTCACAATAATGACCCTGGTTTGTCCACACTGCAGCCGTTTTTCATTCTAGGAAGAGGGAGGCTGTATTTCAGGCTTACATGCTCCCTGTTGTTACAACTTGTCTGCGATTTGTCTGAACTCTTTACGGTAATTTATCTTGTCTGCTTTTCATCCCACTTAAGAACACACAAAGCCGAACATGAGCGTTTGTGGTCTGCCCTCGCTTCGTTTTCTCCTGCTCTGTTTTCCTGCCGCCTGATGTCAACATCCACCTAATCATATACCCATAAAACCTTGTGTTTAGAGGTCATTTCCTGTAATTCAGATTACGTCTTCATCCCCCTCTGAACGGGAGATCAAACAGCAGTCAGAAAAGGGAAGAACAAATGCCACAATTATGTGCAAGTACTGATTAACCCGCATCTGGGTCTGCTCAGAGAAAGACGGGACAGTGTGCGTGCAGGGACGGACTGGTACGGATGTGAGGGTCGTGTTGGGAGGAGACATTGTTAAACCTAACCTGGTAGCGCAGGAAAGCTTGCCACTGTTCAAACTGCGCAGTCCAGAAGACACAGAGGTGACAAAGGTGGCGACAGGTGAATGATAAATAAATGACTTAGTAATAAACAGAAAATGTGTCTAATCACAATGTCAAATATTAATGTTTTTGTGGGTTCATAGTAACTTTGGGTAAAGAGGCAGAAAAATGATCCGTGACATTAATTTTTTGTTAATTATAACACAAATTTAACACCATAACTAAAATATTATCTTTAATACATTTGGATTTTGGAATTACAAAGATACAATAAGATGATATAGTGTATGTAACATGATATATATAAAAGGTTTTAATAATCAAAAAAATATAGAATTTATATCTGATATTATAAGCAGCTAAAAGTTGTGTAAAATATTAGTAAAAAAAAAACCCTGTGCAGCCTTTTATAATCTTGTGATTCCACCAGCTGTGTGTTTAGAGATGTTACCTTGATTCCCTCGATGACGGGCGCCGTATCCCTCAGCGTCTCTGAATGAGCAGACTTGTCCGCCATGGAAATCGCCTCGTTGTGCTTCGCCCTCTCTGCTTCAAGCTCCAACTCCCCCTCCTGCGATCAGCCACACAAACAACGACAGGGCTCAACAAAGTCACAGAGGAGAAAGAAGCCCACCTTTTTATAATGCGTACGACAACACACACGTGCTTCTCGGGCTCCACGACACAATCAAGTACAGTACTGCTGACTGAACTGTGTCTCTCGTACCAGGTATTTAAAAACTAGTCTAGTACCAAAAGCTGCCATTCGCACACAAATTAAATAAATAAGGAGAAGAGTCTTTACCCTGGCAACCTTCTCTGCAGCGTCAGCCAACCTCTCCATCTCACGGTCCTTGTTGTCCTGGCGTATGGTGGCCTCCTCCTGCAGCGTCGTCTCCAGTTTGGTCTTATTGTCCACTTTGGAGAGCTCCATCTCTGCCGCCATCAACTGGGCCTCCTTTGTCTGGAGGGGGAGGAGGAGGGAGCATTGAGTGAGTCGTTAAATACGTTCCATCAGATTCTGGTCTTTTTAATACTTAAATAAAACACATTCATTACATATCCAAGCTCTGGCCTGTGCACATACCACCATCTCAGGGAGCGTCTGCAGTGTGGTCTTCAGCTGGTCGGCAGGGGACAGGGTGTCGGGGAGGAACATGGCCCGAGACAGCAGCAGCAGAGAGGTGGGGATCTGTTGGTTCAGATGCAGCTCCAGCCACTACACGCACAACAGAGAGACGACACATGTTTCCACAGATTAATAAAATTGTTTGAGTCTCAATAACCACATTAATTAATAAGATGAATCAGTGAGTGGAACGATGCATCAGTTGGGGCTGCAGATACTGTGATAAGATTTCATTTTGCATGTACTTTTTTCCCTTTGTTTAAATAATGCTTTTACTTTGTAAGGCTTGAAAATGACCAAATGCTAATATATTACAAATGGCACAGATTACTAGCTTTTCCAGTCAATGCCGTGACACCAAGAACGCAAAAAACTAGGACAATAATGTGTTGACCAGATAATTAAACCCTGGAAATATCCTCCATCCCTAGTTGTTGTTGTTGTTGTTGTTGTTGTTGTTGTTGTTGTTGTTGTTGTTGTTGTTGTTGTTGTTGTTGTTGTTGTTGTTGTTGTTACCTGGCTGAGTTGCTCTCTCAGTCGTTCTTCTGTGACTCCCAGAGACCTCATCCCTCTGACGCGACAGGCTGCCTGCACCTCGTTCACGTTCAGACTCTCCACTCCTTCCTCTGCTATCAGCTGGATAAACAGAGCACAGAGGTCACACACAGCCTCTTAAATCAATTCACCTCCATTTCACCACAGCTGGCTACCGTTTCCACAGATTTCTGATTTTCCTCTATCTGTAAGTGTAGCCGTCTGCTCAGTTTTGAAAAGTGATAAGAGGAAGAAAACTGCTAGACCTGATAAAAAGGAAAACTGTCACCTCAGAGCTTTATATACCTTGTCATCTGCGCGGATGGCCCTCAGCTTCATGATGAGCTGGAAGCGGAGGAAGTTGTTGGTCCCGATGGACTGGAGCTCCAGGAGGCGGCACAGAGCCACCAGCTGGGGTCGAGTCAGGTTGTCCAGAGTCAGCTCATCCTCAAACAGTTTGGAGAACTTGATGATCTGCTCATTGCTGGGTCGTTCCCCGGAGTCCCGGATCTACAAAGACAAAGTTTTTACGACTTGTTAATGTTTTTTCAATGATGGCGGTCTTCTATAAGTCTGGGAGGGGGACAGGCCGGACCCCATGCAAAAATATATCTGTTTTCAAACATTAAATCAAGGAGTTTCATCAGAATTCTCTAATTGAGACCTAAACATTTCATATTTGTCCAAATGTTGGTGTCATAAAGTCGTTTCTAACAAAGTGAAATTCATAAGCACTTTAGTTACATGAATGACCTGATATTTCAGATTTCAGCCATTTTGACTCTTACATATATAGAACACCAGACCAACCAACCACAGACAATTCACTGTTTCCACCACCAGAGGGCAGTACTGAGCCTTTCCCCTATGTTCAAGCTGCCATCTCTCTCTGGCAACACTGACACCAACCTTCTGGAAGAAGGTGGAGAACTCCTCCGTCACGTCGCCTTGGGCAACCTTGTTCCTCAGAGCGATCTCCTCGATGGTGTCCTGCAAGAACTTGGCCATCTCCAGTTTGACCCTCAGCTCCTTTTTCAACCTCTCCTCCTAAAAAAAACAACAACAACAGGTCATAAGTCCAATGTGGTGTAAAAAATAAATAAAATCCACATTCTACATAATAACTGTGATGAATAAGATTAGATCCAATTTAGTAAAAGTGACACTTATTAGGGCGACACAAAGTGAAAGGAAAACGTAAAGAGAAAATAAGAAAGAAAAGAACTTACATTTTTTTTTTAAAACAAAGATATTTACATTGCATAATTATAAGTGTTGCCACACATAAGCAATGTGGAACAACAGGTCAGGGATCCTGTTACGATCCAGATTAGATCGTAATCAGGATTAACTCTAGTCAGGATGAGACTCGTTAGGATCCTGGGTGAAAGTTCATGTCGACACATTAGAAATCAACATTCATTTCATTATTAAACTCTGGATACCTGTATATTCTCACTGATTCTGCAACATGGGAGACTGTGATATTCATTTTGTCAAGATTTATTATTGAGAAACATCAGTCTTCAGAATAATCAAATACGTTTTTTTATATTAGATGCTTTTCTTTGTCATATCATAGTGAAGTGAATATATTTGGGGTTTTGAACTTAATAAAACAAGCAATTTGAATATGTGACGTTAAGATGTGGGAGATTACAGCTGACATTTTGAACCAATTAATAAATTAATTTAGACAATAATCATTAGCTGCAGGCCTAGTTGAGACACTGTGTCTCAAACCACACCCACCTGAAACTAGACTACACAATTCAATTGCAACTACAACAGCTGGCAAAATCATCTCTAAATTTGACTTACGCATCTTTTGATGCAGCTTTGGTTTAAATAGGAAGCACAGATTTCCTTACCTTCTTTGACTGTGTCTCGAAGGTAGACGGCAGCATGTTGGGGAAGAGTTTCAGAGCTACAGGAAGCAGGAACTCCATGAAGGGGACGATGATGAACACCAGGAAGGGGAGAAGTCTGAAGACGTCTGCACATGTTCTAAGAAACTGGGGAGAAAATTCAAGAAACTGGCATGAAGACGATGTGAAGGCAGCTTTGAGTATCCTGAGGTTTGAGGCCAACGTCCACTTGTGACCGTCTATGTCAGTGTCTGCTACTGTTTGGTTTCTCAACAATGAATATGGCTGATCAGAATAAGTACGACAACATCCTACGAGTGCCATTCATTTGCACCAGGCCGTAGTTCTTGCGAGCCTCCAGCAGAGAGCAGCATCGAGAGAAAAAGCCACCGGGGGGAAACCTGTGAAACTGTTTACCCCATCTTCCTTTGTCTCTTGGTACAATCACCCTGCTCAATCCCTCTAATAACAGTTCCAACAGTCAGCACTTTTAACCCTGTGCCCATACATCCCCAGAGCAACAGAAACCTCCTAATTCACTGGTGCATTATTTGCATGGAGCCGTGGACCAAAGTGAACATTCTGCCTCACAAGGCTCAAAAACTGCCCACTTGAGCCAACAGGAAGCACATTTGTTCGGCACAGACCTGAACAATCCTCAGGGTATAGAAGTACCGGGCAGACACTAGTCTACTTCATTGTACAGCTGTCCAACTGTGGCTTACTGACTGTCCTGGGACACAATCCCAACCGGCCATCTACAGAAATGGCCCTGAGGGGAGAAGGCCAAAACACGAGTCCTTCTTTCTCCGCCCTTTCCACCTGCATGTCAGTAGACCAGTAGGGTGAAGGATTTAGGCTAGGCTGAGTGAAAAGGCCTTTGTCCACGGGCCCATTGACATGTATATCATCTCCCAGAGTTCCACATCAAAAGGAGGGTGGAGGGGGTGAAAGATTAAAATAGAAGGAGCCTTAAACGGAGGCCTGAGTATTGTAAGCGAATATGAAAGGAGGAGATTAGGGAGGCAAAGCCAGTCCAGGTTGGATGAATGGGGTGTAGATGGGTTCGGGACATGCGCTCCGAGGGAGTCAGCTGCATTTGAAAAGGTGCAGATGTGATGGTGGTATGGGTTTAATGGAGGGGAGGGGTGGGGTGGGGGGGACATGGTGGTCATCATCAGCACTGACCAGCAGCTATTAGCACTGCAGTGAGGCTTCATTTCCCCTGTGTCTTCAGCCTAATCACACAGAACATGTTGGATGTATTGGAAATCGAAATAACTAAATTATATTGTTTACTGTCTTTCACTGGAATCATATTGTGATGCACTACTGCATCTATTAAACTGAGAATAATTTCATTTAATGCATTTGTCAGAGAGGGGGGGTTGACATTGTTATTCCAAATTACTAGAAGATAACAGATAAACATAAATGGTGTGAGTCGATTTCCCATAAATTTTCCCATAATTACTCTCTATAACATTTTTTCATCTTAGATAATCTTGTCATCTCTAGAGCTGAAACAATTAGTCGACAGACAGAAAAATAATCTTCTATTACTGTGATGTAATCAAGTAATTTTACAAATCCCAAGTGAAAGCTTCTAAATTGTGAGCATGTTCTGTTTTCCTCTGTTTTACATCCCTGTAAACTGGACAGTTGGTCAGAAAAAACATCATCTGAAGACGTCACCTTGGACTCTTGCAAAAAAGGATGGAGTTTTTAACACAGTCAATTATTTGAGATATAATCAGCAGATTAATCAATAATGGAAATAATCATTAGTTGCAACCCCAGTCTCATTACAGATCTTCATTTCACTGGTTTGGAGCTCCAGCCTTTTACAAACACGGCAGGTCCCTTTGTTCTCGTGTGTCAATCTGAATTGTGAAACTCCACTTTTTAAACATGCCTCTGCACTGATGCCTGTAAGTCTGGCACCTTTACGTCCTATAAAGTTCCCAAACAGCACCTGATGATTACAATCAGAGACATGTTATTATAATCCTGTATTTTTAATGTTGTAGAAGATGTAAAGATGGGTATTCATGCTCTTGTCAACCTCAGGAGTTCGTCGGTTTTGGCACGTTCAAAGGAACGAAGATGAACATGGATTCAACTTGGCTAAAATGCTCTAGCCAATGTCAGATATAGCATATAATGTGGGTTTTCAACAATCATTTCTATTAGTCACCGTGGTGGATGAAGAACCATCATATTCAGGTTTTTATTTATGTTTTTAATCTTTTAAATTTAGCTATTTATCAAAATGAGCTGGTGAGTTTTGAACTTGGCAGAGTGTCTCAGCCACAGTGCAAGATTCCCAGACAAGGGCAGCAGTGGCCCGGTCATCCAGTCACTCGATACTTCACACCTTCAAGTGGAGCATTCACAGCTTGCCAGTCATGTGGACTAAGTCTGTACCGTCCTGTACTACAGGAGGGGGGAGGGTGGCAAAACTAAGTGAGGCCTGAACTGACCTGCTCACCTTTCCCTGAAATGACACCCGAGTACCAGTTCCTGCATCAGATTACTGCCGTGAGCAGCGGGCATGAACCCAGGCAGCTTCTCTGGATGTCAGACGCCCGGGTGCCATGAATTCAAAACAAGTAGCTGATTTTGTCAGAATATGAGAAGAACCTGTTGTTTAAACAGTTTCTATTGCTTCACTGCTTGTTTCTTGTTTTTCTTCAAAGCCGTGTTTATTCTGCATCTGGTTTAAATTAATGATTGTAAAACTTTATCCACATATGAGTGAATGATATGGTTACATCATCAGTTAAAATTTAACTATAATCAAGAGGTGTTTTACTATTTCAACACATCTCAGTGAAGTGAAATTTTATTCATTCTAACAAGGTATTTCATCACATGGCTGCAGTATCATCATAAACTTCCATTAAACTTTCAGGAAAAGTAACTAAGGTTATCATTGTTTTGCTGTTTTTTTTTTTGTTTTGTTTTTTTACAAAAAAGTGTTTATGAAACTTTCGAGAAGTGTAAACGTTTGATGTAAACGTTGGGGCGAAGCTGAAGTTAAATGAGGAGTTTTCTAATTAAAGCCACAACGTGTAAAAGCTTCTACCTAAAGAGCTTTAATCAAGCAGCCGGATCTGCTGAGCGCCTGGTGAGTAAACACTCAGCGTGCAGCCAATTTCTATAATTGATCCCATTAGGTTTGAGAAGCTGTGGATTAAACATTTACAGAACAAGATGTCTGGGCTGCCTTGAATCCTTGCTCAGTCATCCCTGATCTTTAAATTCATACTGGCTTTCTACTGTGTGAACCACTGAGTCAAAGAGGAGAAATGGCCTCGTTAGACTGGAAACAGTGGCTGACGGATCAGTTCTCCCATTACTGTTTCTGTTCAAATATAATGTTCTGTAATTGAGCAGACCTTTGAATTTTTTTTTTTTTTTATAAAACGGCTGACAGAATACACATACTCTCCAGATATGGTCAAAATATACCAGTAATTCACAGTTTCCTAAGCCCCGCCCCTTAGTTACTGTTGCTAGACCTGTAAAATTTTCCATCCCAGCACAGCACACATGCAGTTCACATTGACAACTGTTGCTGGCAGATTTTACCCACTGTTGCTAAGTAGCTGATCAGGCTAACATCAGCTACATGACATGCTTGAAAATAGTGCTGCAATGATTTGCTGATTAATTGATTATCTGATCAAAGTAGAATTAATGTGCAACTATTCTGATAAACAGTTAAGTCGTTTAAATAATTTTTCAAATATGCCAAATATTTGATGTGTCAAGCCTAGGACCTTAACTTTTAAGAACAACCTTTACTTGAAGCCAGAAAACTCAAATTTAACACATTGATTTACTTCAAATGAACATTGGCACATCACAGTCTAAACAATGTGTAAATGTAAGTCGCAGTAATGGCTGCTCGACAGTGCAACACAGGAAAAAACATGTTCCTTGGTAAAACATCATCTGAACGTATAGTGTATAGTTCTTCCCTGCATGCCTCACCTGTCTCCTCTCACGTCGGGACAAGGTGTGTCCGTTCAGCACCCTCCACAGCATTCGCCCAGCAATGGTGGTATCGATCCACAGCAGCCTGAAGCCGTGGTAGTAGTGCTTGATTTCATCTATGACCCGCTGTCGGAGCGTCCGTCTCACAGGTTCTGCATCGAGCGTCGGACTGTACACCGGCCCTCCTTCCTCCAGCTTCTTCTTGTCCTTTATCGAACGTAGTGACTTCTCCACCTTTGAGTCGTCCCATCTCCTCCTCGAAGTGTGTATCCACCTGACGCCGGAGATGTCCTGTGGTCGTGCTATTGTCCACTGGGTCCCTGATGCGATCGCAGGGTACGTTGAAGGGGAGGCCCCTGGCACAAAAGCGCAATACAGTCGCTGTGAGTCCGCGCTCTGGCAGGGGCCCACGTATCCATCTGACAGGGGGAGGGAAGGACCGAGTGAAGCGAACTGGGCCAAACTGCCAAGTTGGAGTCCATCAAGTCTGAGAAGACAAGAGGAGGAGGAGCTTCAGAACACAATACAATATATAAATGCTATAAGACCTATAGTGAAACTATAACACCGCCATTAAGTGAAATCTGTTACAGGAATGAAAAAACAGTACAGAGCTTTCAGAAAGTGTGTGTGTGTGTGTGTGTGTGTGTGTGTGTGTGTGTGTGTGTGTGTGTGTGTGTGTGTGTGTGTGTGAATTAGGTTGGTTTCTAACATAAAAGTAGGAATCACAAAGCTTTAAATGCTTCTAAAAGTGTTTTATATTATACTACGCACTGGGCCTTTAAAGGACTATTTTTATTTTACAAGTTACTCTCAGATGTTCACAGGAGCTGCAGTCACTGTGTAAACCCCACATTTAGTTAGCTTACTTTTGAGTGGAGAGTCTGAGGGCTGTGCAGTTGAAACAGGCACCATCTTGTAGTTTCCCTGAAAGGACAGAAAAAAAAATAAGATGAGCAGCTGAGTTCTGGTGATAAGCACCCATAAGCATATACACCCATACAGAGCACACACAGGGCTGTCATGAACTGCTGCTGATGAGTGAATGAGCAGATCAAACATCAGCAGCTATCTGCAGGGGTTGTCTGGTCTGACGCCTTAATGCAATTTTATTTCTGAACTCACTGACCGAGCTATGACACCATCAAAAACACACAGTGGTTATGCAATAATGATATAAAGGGAAGTCACTCCCGGTGTCTTATGTAACGGTCTATCTTGAAATGCATCTCGAGCAGGCCTTTGCACTGGTTTTCAGGGTTTGCTAATACTAGTTTGATCAAGACAGCCTGAATTCAGTTCACCAAAATATACAAAGACTCACTTTAAATACAGGTTTTATAGTAAAATTAATCTCTGTTGTTCTACAACCAAGTTCAGTGATTATTTAACTGCTTACTAATGTTTTTAAATATTCTTTGTTAAAGTGACTCCCAGACAGTTCGAGTGTATTGTTCCTGTGTAAATATCTTCACACTAGTCTGCCTTGGTGGCCATAATGTTCACACCCTCAGTGAGGCCCACATGGGGTTTCCTAACCCCCAGAGGCCGCTCTCAGAGGCGAAGTGCGTCAGAGAGAGGGCGGAGTGGCGAGACACTTCAAACCAATCACATGAGAGCAGATGGCTTAACCACGCCCTCCCTCTGGTTCTCACATGGCCGGCTGGAGTGAATCCAGCAAGGCCTGGTTGAACATGACAGGCTGTGGCTGCCAGCCAGGAGGACACAGAGTTTACTGGAACAGAGTCACCTTTGTGGCTGAGTGGCCGGCTGCTGCAGCACAGAAAGAAAACCCTGGAAATACAGTAGATTACCTAACCCTATATGGTTGGCCTGGGCTTTACACACATCTACATTCTGCAACAGTGTTTTCTCTGTGGGTTTATCCCTCTGCGGGTTTTAACAGTTTGGGTTTCACATTTACACTTCATTCAGTCCAAGATATGTTCCATTAGGAAGATCATTTTCTAATTCTGGCTGCACAACTATTATTTATTACTACGCTACATTTGTTCATGAACATGCTTGTTTTCAAATAACACAAGGATATATTAAATATATTAGATATATAACCTGTGGTCTATGCATGTGTTTCCTTTACACACAGACACTCCCTATGTGATTAAATACTTCTGTCTTACATAATGTGTAGTGTAACATGATGGCAATACAAAACACGTATAACACGTATAAATACTGGTTATAGCAGGTAAATTTACTGCATTAACATCACTTTCGTTACTGTTTCTATGGTAATGTGGCCGTGGATTGACACACATTAAACCTCGTTCAAGCAAAACTAAGCCTGTTTTCAGAGAACCAAAAGCTTTCAGCAACTGACGATGAGATAGAACATTTAGTTTCAGGTTTGGCGACCTACAGATGTTGCCATACCAGTTTAATTATATGTTTTCATGTACTTGGGAAATTTTCCACCTCAGAATACCTGGTCAATGATTAGCATTAGCTAAAGTTTGAAACCACATCTTGTTTTTTATGAAGCGTGTCTACTGAACCTACTGCTGATCTAAATGTTGACATCTGCAGCAAAGTTCCTCCACAGAACCATGTGAATCTCTGCAGACTCCTGAAGTATTACTGTTGCATTTGTAAAGTAATGTACAGTGTTTATTGGCCTTTAGGTATCAGATAAGACTTATTTTACAGCGGCAATGGCCTTGATTTGGTCTTGATTCAAAATAAACTCGGTCTGATTCTGGAAGGTCATGACTAGGTCATGCCCTGCCCTGCCTGCTTGACTTTTTTTTTCAACAGTTAACTCATGTGTGACTCACAGCCTGCAGGGGTTTGGCTGTAAAGCACTGAAACAACAGTCTAATAACATTTCCTTATGCACTCTGTGAGCCTCGGGTCAGTTTCCTGACATGCTCCTGTGATCAGGTTGAATAAACACACATCAGTTGTTACTTTTAGTTTCATCTATGTCAATATAGGTGCAACTGGTTTGCACACAAACAAGCCATACATTTTGTTATCTAACGATATACTGAATCTTATGTAAAATATCCTTTGTTTTATCAAAAGTGTGAGTTCACATGTATAAATTCAACTGAAATGGAGGGAAGAAAAGAAGAGGACAGCTGGTAGGGCTTTATAATTGGTTTACCTACTGGACACCTCCCATCACAGATGTTTCTTTACATTAAATCCAGAACAGCAAACAGTACAAACGTCTGCCCTGGATCCACAGCCACTGTGAGACTTGTTACGTCACTGCATCTATATCCTTTTATCTATTTGTTTAGATGTACAGAGTCCACATGTAAACAAACAAGCTTGTTTATCAGGATCAATTATAGTAAGTTTAAATCCAGACTGTTCACTTTGTTATGCCTATCCTTCTGAGTATGTAGATCTGGTGTCAGGCACCTCCTTTCACAGTACTCATAAAATATGATATTTTTGGGTCATTTCCCCTGGGAGAACACTCTCAGTCATACTGAACATCAGTGCAGAGACAACAGAGACTCACATTTTCAGGCACCTCAGTGTGAAATGAGTCTAAATCACAGTGGTTGCAGCTGGACAAACCACATGAAATGAATAAACACTCCAATGGTTGAACACATTGCTCCATATGTTGTTGTAGACGCCCTTTCACACACACCAACACTGCACCTACACCAATGCATGCATGTGTACCATCACCTTATCGCAACTGAAACTTTACTGTTTCTCTCATACTTTCTTGACGCTGTGTTAGATAATGCTCTAATCTTTACTATGTCTGACCTTACAGCTTTTGTTTGATTACTGCTAAACATCCACTCTGCAGAGACAGCACACTGGTCAATGTTCAGCAGCACTGAAGGCTAATCAGGGTGTTCTTGGTCACAACTATAAAACTTGAGTCAAAGATTGTTTTTTTTTTATTTTCCTTGTTTATTCAGAGTCGTTTAGAGCTGGGATTTATTATCAACCGATTATTATCTAAATATTGACACTGTCAGCTTTGTCCAAAGGGAGACTCATGATCAAGTTACAACTGTATTTATGAGATGCTCATATTATGATCACTACCAGGATATGAGGTAATGTCCACCATATTATAGGAATTTAATAGTGCTCAAGTCAGCACAGACATGAATACATAATGGGAAAATGAAGTCCAGTCTGTCTCAGGTGTAGTTATTAGAGGCGCTGACCTTTCTTCATGGAAGCACTGCAAATTGTCGGATAATCTGGGCCTAAAGCCAAGAGCACAGTCTCGGACTGTCCACTGCAGACAGACAAATCCCCATCACGACCCTCTCATCTATTTATAAGCACAGCTTTAATGCACCAACTCAACTACAAACATTTATCATTCAGTCTGTAGCATTGTTATCTAATTCATAAACCCCATTCACTGACAGTCTGTGACACACCTACAAATTAAACAGTGAAAGTGCAATATCTACGCCTTAATATCTACGCTGGTTATACAACAGGTAACCTACAAGGCTTATCAGAAATGTGCAGGGATGTGAAGTTACTGAGTTGGTCTGGAGCCACATGCAGTTTAACCAATTCCCAGTTCAAGACCAGTCAGTGAAGAGACAGATTTGAACAAAACATAAGAGTGCTCCTCTAAAAAGAGGGTGGACATGAATAAAATGGATGAACTCTACTCTCTGATTACTCTACTATGACATTAGTCATTGAGATGAGCAGTATATATAAAAAACCTCTGTCATTGTCTAATTTTATATCATGATGTCATTCTATAGTGAATATATATACTAAAATAAGTATGTGAAAAATCAATTGAGAAATTGTTCATGGATTAAATAACCATGTAGGAATGTCTGTTCTTGGCTAATCCAAGATGTATATGAATGTATAAAATACCTGAGAAATTAAAGTAACACAGATTTAAAAAAAAAAAAATAAAAATACTATAGTTATAAAACAGTTATGCTCAATGTCAGGCTCATTTTCCACAATGGTTTATAAAGGGACAGCACAGGAGTTGGAAAAAAACTAAATGTATTTGACACTTTACAGCACTGATTATCTATTACTCAATTTAGGGCTGTAACTAAATATTATTGTCATTACTGATGAATCAGTTAATTGTTTGGTTTGCAAAATGTCAGAAAAACTTGAAAAATAGGATTTTTCACTAGATGAATGAAACAATTAGTCAGTTCTGAAAATAGTTGATTATTTTTTGAACGATCAACGTAATTATCATTCCAGCTCTAGTAAAAGTGAGACATGTACTGCATATGAACCTGAACTAAAAGTCAAATGTTAGCAGCAGCCCTTTTCGGAAGTTGTTTAGGAAAAGCAGAAAATTCCCACACTACTCTGCATTTGCAACATCCTCATTCCTGTGGTTCCTTATTTCACAACCTTGTCCTAACAAACGACCAAGATAAACTGTACAACAAGGCATTTGGATTAACTTAAGGAAATCAGCACAACATAGATCCAAATATAGCTTCATTCGTGTTTAAATCCCATTTCTTCTTATTTTTTCCCCACTGCAGATCTTGCTTAGCTATGGCTACTTTGTGGATGCAGAATAAACAGATGGGAATAAACCATTCTGCCATAGCAACGAGCATCCTGTCAGACTGCAGTGGAAAGAGGGGGCGCTCTCCAACCAGAACATAATCCAGGTTGTCCTCAGATAACCCACATCATGTTTTGCTTCTTATTTAATTCTCATCACCAAGGTGTGGTGCCTTGATGCTGATTCTTGAGAGATGCTATACATAAACCTTTACATGCAATCCCAACATTGATACAAGGTGGTTATTGATTTATAGCTTACAGGAATGAATGGCAGACTATTTACAGTGTTATACCCAGTTATCTGCTGGTACCCTGTCACCTTGAGCCATCCACCATCTCCCCTGAAACCCAAACAGGGCCAAACAAGGACCACATACCGTGAATACATTACTCGTCTAGATGCTAATGTAACCCAAGCTAAGTTAGCTTCTTTTCGTCAAAATAAACATTAAATCTACACAGTAACAAACAAACACAGAAAAGTTACCTTTTCCTTTCCGGAATTCGTTCTTTAAAGATCGGGATGTTTTCATTAAAGGTGCCCGGGACCTCGTAAACAGGATTAACGCCATGCGGAGATCTTTCTGTCTCAACTCGCAGCCTTTAACAGTTACAGTAAACTTACAAGCTAGCTAGCCCGTTAGCTAGCGTCTGTTTGTTCAAGACGTCGAAACGAGAGAGGACCTCTACAGATACAAAGAAATCCCGAAATCCTTGTCTTCTTTTAACAGTCTACGACGCATATACAACTGTACATGTGAAAATGTAGCTCCATGTCATAGCATGCCCTTCCCTGCTTCGCGGATGACAGCTAGCCGGCCCAGACTCCCGAGTGACGTCAATCTGAGTGATGGTGTTTGTGTTAAGCGACCCGTGATGTGTGGGGAGGGAAAACTTCCGGTGAGTTTATAACATAAAAGTCAATTACATTCTATTCAAAGGCTTTATTGTAATATGCAGTAAGCTATCAGTGTAACGAAATTCTGCTGCCTGTCTATCCTCTCTATCAGTTATTTCATGTTGTCTGTAAATAATCTGTATGTTGTATTTATTTTCTTTGTAACCCAACATTTTTACCCATAGCAATTTTGTGTCTACCCCAAGGAATGTTTTGATATATATCTTTGTTATCTTTTGGATGTGTAGCTACCCTTGGCAGTGTTTAAATTCATATACTGTACTTATATACAGATACATTAATACAATAGATTTGGGACTGATCAGACACTTCCCTGACTGTAAATAATCAGGTGCCTAAAACCTTTGCACAGTACTGTAAATAATATAAATAGAAAAGTAACTTATGCAGCTTTCACAATCAAATTTTCAAACCTCATTGTCTTTTATTTTGAAAGGCACACTTTTACCGGAAGCGGATTGTATTTTTCCAGTAAGTTTCACGCCCCTTAGCTTCCTTTGTTGGTACTGCAGGTTTATGCTTGAATTTGCACAGTATTCATGTAGAACGAGGCAACATGGGGCCTGTGCCTCAGCTGCCATTACCATGCTGCTGTTTCATCATCCAGCATTTGGTTTCAGTGTTTGCCCATCTCTACCTGTGTGCTATAGATTTAGAGCTATGGATATATACATTGGCTAACTGTGCATCAAGGCTGATACTGACATTAGCAAGGCTGGAATGTCAACCAGGCAAAGAGGGCAACTGCCCCAGGGCCCCAAACACTGAGAGGCCCCAAAAGCCCCATCTTTATCCACTCTATGGATTTTGTCAATTTGATTAGTTACAACTGTGTATTTGTACCATTAAAGTACAATATCAGGTAAGGTAAGTCCTGCATTATTAGCTAATTATCTGGCCCTTTTGATATGAAATCATGTTTCCCTGGACTTTGGTGAGAAATGTAGTGTAGTAATTCTAAACCTTAAGAAGAGTTAGAAATTCAAGAACAGCAATGTACAGATTTCTGCACAATAAATATATACACCAGTTGACAATTTATTAAACACACCTAGCTAAAACTAATGCAGCCTAATACAACAGTTCTGCAATAAATCCTTCCTTCATGACAGTTATAATGCTCAGTTTGTGTTGAAACAGTTTTAGAGAGGTTTTGTTTCAATATTATGGTAATTTTGGAGGGTATATACTGTATATTGAAGTGCTGTAATGCATTATACAAAGAGGGGTTTCTGTTATTTAACCTATCCTCAATGATAATAAACAGGGGGTGGACAAAATAATAGAAACACTTGTCAATATAATGCAATAAAGTTCAAAGGCACCACAAAGTACATATTTTTTTAGCTAGGTGTGCCTAATAAACTGCCTACTGAGTGTAAATATATAAAGCTAGAGGAGACAGCATAACCAGATGCTCCACAGAGGGGCTGATTATATTATGCACCACATTATACTGAGGCAGTGCAAATAATTAGGTTGTGTTTAATGAAATTACCACAAAATAAGACATGAAGGTATGTTTCAGCAATGGAGGCCTGGTTGCGTCTCTCTGGCACATACACAGAAAATCGTCTGGCTGTCAGACAACACCAGAGGATAACAGCTGGATTCGGCAGAGGACCCTGGCATATGTTGGACCAGAAGTTTCATTTGGCTATATGAATGTGGCAGGTTCCACTTTCAGAGGATGGCAGATGGGGGATCTGTGGGGCCCTACAACAAAATTTTGTTTTGTTTGAAATTTCAAATTTGACCATGGACATTAGACTAGATTATAGGCCTCAGCCTCTCTAAACGTTGGGCCCCTACTGATTTTGGGAGGTCTAGGGCGACCATATCCTTTAACAGAAAGCAGCCCCTGGTACAAACAGCACTATTATCTTATATTATATTATATTATAATGACTTTATGCACTGAATTGGTTGTGTCATCTTTCGTATCCCCCCTTTGTTTCAAAGATTAATTTAGTGGAGCTACTTTGATGTGGGTAAATACCATATTTTTATTTTTCACATTTCAACTGTAATAATGGTTTAGTATAGGAGAAACCATTATAACGGCTACACAAAACGTACATTTAAACGTTAGCAGACTTAGTAATTACAGCCCGTTTACATTACTGTTTGTAAGAAACAAATACACACGTACACATACCGTGGCTGTGGATAAAATTGTGATCTAGAAATGAGGTGAAACGGCATGAAAACAGACGGGAGACACCGGGTCAGCACTTCCTACGGTTGGTTTTTTGAAAGGACCGGTTGGATCCTCTCTCCGCTCCCGACCAATCGGAAGTGAGTATTTTTCGCGCTGGTTGGCCGGAGAGTTTGAGTTTCCCGCAAGCTTTTGATTCGACTTGAATGAAAGCCTTCGCTTTACAGGATGAGTACGGACATTTTCTCCCTTTAACCACCGACAGGAGATTCAACAGGTAACTACAAACAAACGGCCTTTCATGTTATTGTCAGCCCCGGGGGTATTTGCCGGTCTGAGTTTTTGCAAGTACACTTGTTCAGGCCGACCATCCATTTTAGCAAGAGAGGATCCGCTAGCTAGCAAGCTAGCTAGCAGTGCTAACGTTAAATGTGCAATTTGGCTTGGCTTCAATGGTACCCTAGTTAGCTTTGGCTAGCACCGTTAGCCTTTTTGAAACGAGCTGTCATGGCGCCTACAAATTGAGTATACAAGTGAAACAATGGAAAAACATTTAAAAGACGCTACTGCAATCGCCCAGTCATGCACTCGTTTATTTATTCACGTATTTGCTTTAATCGGGTACGATAGCTAGTTGGTAAGTTAATTGCATTCAGCTTTTGGGTGGCGGCTTTGTCTATTTGCTGGAATGTAATGGCTGACTGTAGCACTGACAGAGATGCAGTTGTACTCAATGGGAAAATGCTTGTCCATAGCTGGACTCCATGAGATTCCCACATCGTGGCTTCCACATCAGATTATAGTCGCAGCCCGTTTCGTGCATGACATTATAGGGCAACCGCTGGCGTAAGTGGGTATTTTAGGTTCTCCATCAGAACACTTTAAGGCTGAAGTTAACTTTAAAACGATTGACCGGGTTGTTACAACGTTTGCGTTAACAAAATATGTTCAGCCGGCATGTCGTTATGTTTCAACTAAGCCAACTAACCTAACACAACCCACAATGTAATATGTTAGCTTTTAACCAAAGCGGGATACATTCGATTCCAGCAATTATTCGCACTCCAGTAGCATTACACCGACTTGTCAGCTGCTTCCATTTCCGCGGCTTTTCTAGCCGGTGATGTGGTGGTTACGCGGCACGGTTAGCCACCCACTCATTGGGCATTCGCTGCATGCGGTAGAGCCTGGAGCCTGCAGCCAGCCTTCTCCTTACCGCTTTGCCACAGACTGCAGCTAGCAGCTAGCTAGTCCTTTTCCAGGAGAAAGCCAACTTGAAATTGTCGCGGTAAGAGGGTTTTCCACCCGCCCAGTGGTTTTTGTTCGCATGCATGGGAATAATCGGGAATAGGTTTGACTTGACCTCTTGCACATTAGTTGTGATTAACATTTAGATTTGGATTTCAGTGAGGCATAGGTATTCTTTTACTGTTCTAAGGTATTGTTGCTTCATACTTGTGGTCAAATGAGTCGCTCTCCTATCTTACAAGAACATCCAAAACTACGCGGCTAGAACATTATGTGACAGGTGCAGCTCTCTCTGCTTCCCAGTCTCTGTGTTCATGCTTCGCTGGAGCAAGTGAGTGCCATTTTGTAAAATGTGTAACGTTATGCTCATAGGATTCATATCCCAGAATGCCATTTTACAGATTGCCAGAAAGAACAGCATCAAAAATGGACTGCATGATATTGTTAATGATTTCTGACTGAACCTGTGGAATGAGAAGTTTCTGTATGTTCCCTCTCCCTGTAGCTCAGTGAGCCTGGAGGGGGTTAGATGGGATGGACACTAAAGGTAGCTCTCTGCCTTCGATGCCCGAACCAGCCAACCCGATCAGCATGAAGCAGCCGCCAGAGTCCCTCAGTGTACGGAAAGGTCGGGGGGACATGAGCAGTGACCCTGCTCTGCTAATGGACAAAGCTGCTGCCCAGCTGGCCGCCACACTACAAGACGGCGTCCTTCAGAAGATGGCTGGCCACAGTCATAACAACCACAGCCACGAGAGGCTCAAAGACCTCACCTCCCGTGTGCTGAATGGGGACCAAGACACACTGCCCAAGCTTTGTGCTCCAGAGCCACCTATGCTTAAGGGTGCTGAAGCCCCTACTACGACTGGCACCCATCAGCACAATTGCACTCCCCATACAGAACCTGAACTGAAGGTGACAATACCCCAGGTGGTCAAGCAGCCGCTGTTTGAACCATGCTGTGCCAATGGGACCAGTTTGGCTACGGCGGCTGAAGGTACTATATCTGGACCTGACAAGAGAGAAGACGCAAAGAAAAGGAGGGGGAGACCTCACAAACCAAAACCTCAACCAAACCTCAGTTCTTCTGTCATCCCTGTGGAGGAACTTGACCACACAAATGCTGTAGATGGAACTGGAGCAGCTGAAGAGGTTTTGCATTTATTCCAACTTTTAAGTACCAAAGCATGAATATTTTTTAAGCTAGATCTTCTGCTTGGCTGTAGCAATATAGTACATAACAATACACTGCAATATGGCCAGCTAGTACTGGTTTTAAACATTAGTGCAATAATTTACTACAATTATGCTGAGAGGTGGCATTAAGGACCACACATACAAATGTGACCAATATATAAATACTGGCAGTGATGTGTATGTGTCTGAAATAGATTGTGTGTGTGTGTGTGTGTGTGTGTGTGTGTGTGTGTGTGTGTGTGTGTGTGTGTGTGTGTGTGTGTGTGAAGTAATTGATTTTAGGGAGGGAAAGTGTTTGGAACCTTGATTCGTTTCTATTTTTGTCTATTGATTAACTGATTCTTTTGTCTCTTCTCCAGCCTGATCTCATCCCAGAGTTGACAGAGGAGGCTGCAGAAGAGTCTCCTTTGCTGATCCGTTTCTCTGTTGGTGATTTGGTTTGGACAAAGGTGTCAGGATACCCCTGGTGGCCTTGCATGGTGACCACAGACCCAGAAATCAGTAGTCACTTCAAACAGAAACAGAAGGGTGAGAAACTAGCACAACTACCTGCTTCATTCTAACTTGGCTTTTTATATAGTGCAGTTCAATGTTGAAGAATCACCATTTATTAAGTAGGAATGACTATTGTTATATCTGTGCTAGTGTATACAACATATATCCATCATTTCTTATACCACCTTTGATTTTAAAAACTGTTTTTTTGTTGGTTTATTGTGTTATTTTTAGCAGCCAATAGCAGGTCAGGCCTCCTTTACCATGTACAGTATTTTGGAGATGCCCCAGAGAGAGGCTACATATTTGAGAAGAACATGGTGTCCTTCTCTGGGGAGGATCAATACCAGGAGCTTAGCCAGGGCAACAAACAGGCAGCCTCCCGCATCATCCACAAAAAGGTAAATCACTTTCATTTCTTTTGTGAGGCCCTTGTATATTGGCTCTATAGGCTGCTAAGGCCCATATAGAAAGACTCCACTTGGAAACCTTGCAACATTAGAATATTGCACTTCCTTAAAATGTTTTGCACAAGAAAGAAAAGCCAAATGGTTGATTTTAGGTAAACAACAGAATATATTTTGCAGCTTGGCTCACAAGTTGTTAAGCAACTGCCACTTGCTGCTAATCAATGATGTAATCTTGTTTTAAAATGATGCCCATAGTAAAAACAATGATTTCTTTGTTGCGTCTTCTTGATGGCAACATGCAGCACAATGATTAAACATTACTTCTGCATTCGTGCATTCATGCGTTTTTGTAACTTGTTGTATAAACTTGTCATTTTCTCCATCATGCAGACGGGTCCCTCTGTGCCCCGTAAACTCCAGGCACAGTGGAACATGGGCATCATTCAGGCCAAGGAGGCCCTCGACATGTCACTGGATGAGCGCATGGCAAACTTTGTGTTTCAGTATGATGATGAGGGGCCTCATCTAAACCCCCACATCCTGGAGAAGTTGAAGCCAAAACAGAGTGTCGAGATGAACCAGGAAACAGAGTCACGGCTCAGCCCAGATCTTTCCTCCATGCTGGTAGGCCTTCCCAACGACCCCACAGCCACCCCCCAGTCCCAAGACAGCACTTGGGAGTTTATCTGATGATTACATTCTTGATTATTATTTGACCTGTTAAATTTCAGGAAAAATAGTAAATCTCAGTCTTGAGTTTCCCAGAGGTCAGGGTGATGTCTTCAGAAGTCCTGTTTTGTTCAACCAGCAGATCAAACCGCAAAGATCTGAATGATGTGGACCCGCAACTAAGTCTATATTTTAACTTTAAATATAATCTAATATTTGTAAGTTCTGCAAGAAAATCAAGGTTTGAAAATACAGAGAATGTTTTGGAGTGGAAATATTTTTAAAACCTTAATAAGATAATACAATGATCGTACTTAATTACCTGGGAAAAACCTTTAACTATGGTCAGCATCATTAAAGGGGATGTATAATGCTCATTTCCAGCTCTGTATTTTTATTCTGGGACTCCACTAGAATAGATTTGCATTCACAGTTCAATAAAAGTGCCTGCTATTCAGCCCCTCAGTTGAGCCTCTGACTGAAACAGACAATATTAGCTTGGGCCTCCTTAAGAGGCCTCCTTAAAAGCTCACTTTCTCCTGATTGGCTGAACATCCAGAAGCCTGTTGAGGGGCAGCACCCAGCGCTTGTGAGCACCGCCTCATCTTCTAATCAGTGTGGATGTCCTGAAAGCAAACTGTAAAACTCTGTGACAGAACATAACTGATTGGAAGTGGAAACTTCTCACATCCAACTTTTCTTGTTTGATCCACAATCTGATCCTGAATATAAGAGTGAAGCATGAACAACAAACATTACAGCAAGAAATCTGTTTTTTTAAATGTTACACCCATCAACTGATTATTGTGTGGATTTAGTCTTTTGATCACAATCTGTACATACATTTTTTTTTTTATACATGCCCCTGTGAATAGTTGTACATGTGGGAAATGGAAGACATCTGCTGTCAGGAAATACCATAGCTAACGATGCTTGTAAAATGTTATTCTACCGTTCTCAAACAACTGTGTGCTGTCAAGGATCAGCTATTTGTACACTGGAGTACTGAGTACATTAAATGCCTGTAATACTACTCAAGTTTTGGGAGAACGAGCCGTGTTTGGAGTCGACCACCGTAGAAAGAAGTAGAAAAGACCATTGTAAACCTCTCGTTCAGAGCCGACTGATGCCTAAGCTTTTGTGTCAGGGATTAATTTTACATACGTTTACCTTATTTGAAACGTTGACCACGTTAAATATCTGACCTTGTAACATTATTCATATGCCAGAAAATAAAGAAACGCATAATAGGTCCTCTTTAAACACATTCGGTTGTTTTCTCTGCAGGATCCCACCACTTCAGAAGCAGATATACAAGCTGAATCAGCTGCACCTCAGAAGAAAAAGAGGAGACCCAAACAGGCTCAGTCTCCCGCCAAGACACAGAGGAGAAGGAAAAAATCAGCAACGGACAACTCCTCTGACCCTGTGAAGAAAAGGAAATCAAAGCTGGTTTCTTCGACAGACGATGTTTACGATCCAGACTCTCTCCCAGTTTCTGTTCCAGGTCGGTTGAAAGTTGAAACCTGTGCACCAGATCACCGCTAGCCATCAGTAAAGTGTTGGGTTAATCTGGTTGCAGCAGCTCTGGTAAACATACCAAAGCAGAGCTGTGGAATCTCCTGCTTTAAATTGCCATATGTGGCTAGTAAAATAGTGCAGTGGGTGGATTATTGTGGTATTTATCACTTAATGTGGCATTTGTATTTAAGAATTTCCATTCCTGATTGTCGAGAGGGTAAATTTCTGTTGAGACTGCTTATTCTCAATAGCACCGAAGCTTAGAAATGCACGGAATTTATCCAAAATGCTATTTGATGGTTGTGTATAGTTTTTGCTTTGTTGTCGCACCAGCATCCCTTTTCCACAGTTAAACATGTAGAACTAAATTTTAATGGTGATTTGGTCTCTATTTATAAAGCACAGTGAACATTTAAAATAAGAGATGATAAAAGTACTTGAATCATTACTTTTCCACAAGTGAGACTCATAATTTGATCCTCATCTGTACTTAATTTGGAGAAAATGGTGTTAATGCATCCATGTAGATTTGTTAAATGAATTTAATTAAAAGAAAAACCCTTTGTTGTCGTAGTTGACAAAGTGAAGAAAAGGCAAAAGAAAGGGACTCCTGAAGATATGACTGATTCCTCAGGTGAGTCAGTTGTCAGTTAACTTTCACGTAGTGTTGCCTAAACACAGAAAGGTAGAGATTGTCCCTTGTAATTGAACAAAATCTCAGGAGAATGAGATTTTTCTTCCTCATTGTGAGTCTGACGTTTATTTTTGGCCCTTTTTGTATTTTCTTTAGCTGATTTATGGTCTTGGCACAAGGTGGGACTGAGCTTTTAAATCAATCCTCGAGCCGCTCTAAAAGCTGCCTGGAAATGTCAGAATTTCTTGTTGTAACTAATTACTAACGTCAGATAAAAATGTCTAATTCTAAACCACATTTTAACATTTCAGTCAAGAGGGAGCGGAAGAAAACCTCTAAAAGGCCAGTGACGGACGCTGCAGAAGAAAAGGACCAGCAGCCTAAAAAGAGACGCAAAATGAGCAAAGATGTTGAAAAACAGGTGAGTTTCCATCTGGTGTGAGACACATAACTGCATGTTCTTGAATAGTAATAGAAGAAGAACTGACTGTGGAGACTTTAAATCATTCACTTTTACAGTAAATGCCAGACAAAATAGATGTTTGAATCAATAAGAATGATTTTGAATATGGAACGTCAAACACTAACCCAAAATGAGCATGAAGCCCCTTTTTGGAGAAAGATCTTGATTTACTTGTTTATTACATCCACTGAAAGAGATTTTACCTCCCCAGGCCTCAGCTTCAGAAGGAACGGAGAAAAAATGGAAGAGGAGGAAGAAAACTGATGACGTGAAAGAAACCAAGAGACGACAGAAAAAGTCAAAAGATCCTCTTACTGGTAAACAACCGCACTGTTCTGTGTTGACGAGCTCCACTGCTGGGCTTCTCTTCTGAACTCACACCTCTGTGTTTTGTTCTGTGGCCTCACTGTCATATCAGCTGCTTTTATTGTAGCCCTGCCGCACTTGGTAACTATAGTTCAAACATTTTAACTATGCATAGATGACCAAGATGCAGAGAAACCAAAGTATAGGAGGAAAAGGAAACAGGATGGAGAGAACCAGGCCACGCCTGCTAAAGCAAAGAAGAGGAGGTCCTCCCCTTGTCCTGACCCTGAGGTGAGACGGTGTAACCTCAGTATGGTATTAACTTAATTTACACGCACTTGTTATAAATGTTACAAAACCTAAAGCATAATGTTGCATAACTGTTTAGCTTTAAAAAAATATTTGATAGCAGAGCTCTTCAAGCAAACTAAGCCGCACTGGCTCAAGTGTGAAGGGAATACATGGGCTTCAGTTGATTGTACATCATTTCGTACAAATCTGACTGTAGACGTGTTATTTGATGGATTGCCATTGTCTTCACTTTGTTTGCTGCAGGGTTCTGGGAGTGAAGGACGTCCTGATTCTCCGAGTGACAGCTTAGACGGGACGAAGAAGGGCGAACGGAAGAAAGAGTTTGTCTGTCAGGTAGGTCTGCCTTTATTTTTGACTTAACTTGAGTTGAGACAACAAACTTTCGGTTCATTTGTTTCAAAATACAAAAATGTCAGGGTCAAGTGTTTTATATAAACAAACACAGTGGGTTTAAACAAGTCTCCATCCTTTTATAATCGTGTGCGGAATAGAGACATCGATTTTTATCAAAAATTACATTTTTACATCCAGTGAAATGTCTGAATCTCTGCGTATGTTTTTGATCCGTATGTATTCGTTCCTGCAGAGGTGTGAACAGGCTGGTGAGGACCTGGTGCCCTGTGAGGGCCAATGTTGTGGGATGTTTCACCTCCACTGTCTGGGTCCGTCTTTCAAACCTGAAGACAAGCTGCTGTGTCAAGAGTGCAGCACAGGTGAGACGTTCATTTTGTTCAAGAAGCAGCCATTGAGCAGTTATTTTATGTTGCAACCTCTCGCTGCACTGCATTCAGTTCTTGACCGACATTTTGCCGTTTCTCTTCCCAGGAATTCACTCGTGTTTCACCTGTAAGCAGTCGGAGGGCGAGGTGCGTCGCTGCCACGTCCTACACTGCGGCAAGTTTTACCACGAGGCGTGTGTCCGCCTCAACCCTCTCACCTCGTTCGACAACAAGGGCTTCCGCTGCCCGCTCCACACCTGCCTGAGCTGCCACTACGGCTGCCGCACCAAGCAAAAGTCCACCAAGGGTGAGGAGCATATGACTTTATACTGTTTGGATTCCTTGACTTTTGATTCTGAGACATGTTCGGTCCTTTGAGACATTCTTATCGGTTTGTTTTTTATCAGTTATATCAGGGTGTTGCACATACAGTTTTCTTCATTTCCTTCTCTTGCTGAATGTCAGATCAGAGGATGGAACTTTTATTGAGGCTTCTTTAAAGCTGTGTGGGCAGGAATAATTTGAGTCAGCTGTCCATTGTGATAACTGTAAAGGAAACATCATTATCATCATCGCCCATATCTGTTTGAAACCTATTAACATTTTCACAGTTTCATAACAGATGTGTTTACATAAAGAAAGACACTATTAACTGTTCAATGGCCAGAAAATTCAAACATTAAGTTTGTATAATATTACTTAAAAACCCCTTTGAACGTAACAGTTAGAGTAGATGCAGAATAGAGATTTTTGGCAAAGTTTCACCTTCTTCCAAGGTGCATGGAGAAGGAAAAAAGTGTAAAGAGGCCAAAACTCCAGCAACGCTTGTGGTATAATGATGAACCCATTGCGGCCCAGGTTCTGGGCGTTGGTCTGACGGTAAAATTGTTCTTCATGTTACAAGTGCAGCTGGAGTTACACTCATGAAATGTAAAAGAGAGGCGAGCTAGAATAATATAATTTGTTTTGTAGGAAGTGCTGTTTTGTTCCTTTCAGGCTGCTGCTGCTCCTCTTCTTCTTGAACTCAGTGAATACAGTTTCTCCTCTTTTATCTGCTTAGCTTGTGGCAGGATCAGATTACAACACTGGATCTAATGACAATGAAAACACGGCACTAATGAAACATAATGCAGTCATTCTTCATTGCCAGTTTGTGACTCATCTGTAATAATCCCCAACAGGAATAAACCAAGTTCCAGACTAATGACGCAAGTTCATGTCGGTAATAGTGAAAAAACATTCAAAGGCTGCAGTTAGAATTTCAAATGAACCGATCAATGCCAAAAAATTTGCTCACCACTAATGTTGGAGAGGCACCAGTTTACCATCTTTACAAAAGATCCACTCAGAGTTTGTATATCTTTGTAATCCTGTGTTTGTCTCGCTCTCCTCGTTGCAGGTAGGTTAATGCGTTGCCTACGCTGCCCGGTAGCGTACCACATCGGTGACCAGTGCGTGGCCGCCGGCAGCGAGATGATCACCAACACCGCCATCATCTGCACCAACCACTTCAACGCCAAGAAGGGCTACAGCCACCACAGTCACGTCAACGTCAGCTGGTGTTTCGTCTGCTCCAAAGGTTCGTCTCCTCCCCTTTGTCACCAACACAGAGCGCGGTCACCAGAAGCCATATAATAATAATAATAGATTGTTTTCTACTTAATGAATGAGCAGTGTAACCACCGCACAGTCGTTTTAAAGCTCTATTGTGCTGCTGAACCAGATTTCATTCATAAAACAGGAAGTTTTAATAACATTGATAAACATGAGTAGTTTTCATGTTTGCCTGTGGTTGGAAATGAAACTGTTCCTCATTTTGCATAAACATATTCTGCACTTGTTTAATTCTTTTTATACAGTTGTTTTCGGCCAACACGAATCTCAGCTCGGAGCAGCAAAGTGTCATCTAAAAATTATTATTTCCTTATTCTCCTTAAAGTGTAATAGTGAAATTATTTTGGCACAGCCACCTGCTCTCGAGTGGGTGTGGAGCCATTAATCACACATGCGGCTGCTGCTGCTGAAAATCACTGAGGAAACGCTGAACTGCAGCATTTCCTGAGAATCAATTTTCAGTTGAAATCACAGTCAGCTCCTACATCCAGGAGACAGTGGTACTTTCATGTGGGTGTTAATTTTTTTTTTTTTAGAGTGTGAGAAGTGATACTGAAACGCAGAGAGAGCGGTTTGCTTGGTTTAATCTTTACCTGCTAATAATTTTGCCTTCAGTGTAAAATCTTGTGTAAATGCATCTGAGCCACTGCTTCAGTTGCTTCCAACCAAAACACACAGAACAACAACGTGTGGATTAACGAGTGGGTACGTGGCAGACTAAACATTTGCACGTATTGCACTTGTTTTTTATCACTCTTCTACAGATGACTCAACTTCAGCTTCACTGCTGCTGACTCATAGCTAAATGTCTGAATTATTCCCCACCCATCTATAATGTCAGGTTTAATTGGGTTTGTCTTTGTGTTGCAGGAGGGCAGCTGCTGTGCTGCGAGTCCTGTCCAGCAGCGTTTCACCCCGACTGCCTCAACATCGCTATGCCTGATGGGAGCTGGTTCTGCAACGACTGCAGAGCCGGAAAGAAACCCAAATACAGAGACATCATCTGGGTCAAACTAGGAACATACAGGTGAGAGACACTGAAGTTGTCATTTGTTAGTGAACGTTCTTGTTATTCACACTGTAACTCATGCCGCTGCCGCTTCTCCTCAGATGGTGGCCTGCTGAGATCCACCACCCGCGAAACATACCCACCAACATCCAGCACCTTCGCCACGAGATCGGAGAGTTTCCCGTCTTCTTCTTCGGCTCCAAGGATTACTTCTGGACTCACCAGGGCCGAGTGTTTCCCTACATGGAGGGAGACAGGGGCAGCAAGCACCAGAGGACTGGCATCGGCAAAGTTTTTAAAAATGGTAACGCTCTAGGCTGAATTGCACATCAATCTGCCCTTAATCACTTGTTTTTTTCATTAAAACTCATGAAAGAAATGAAGGATAGAAGCGTAACCAAAGTTGCATCAAAGCACAGCTGCCACATTAATGCAGAAAATGTTTCTCTTCAAGTTTTTTAACCTAAATGTTCAGATTAATGTCTACACAGATTAAATGAAATGAGCTTTACATTGTTTTGTTTCCGCAGCTCTGTTGGAGGCTGAAGCTCGATTCAAGGTGATCAAAATGAAACGAGAGGCCAAAGAAGCACAAGAGAACAGCCGAAAACCACCCCCATACAAATTCATCAAGGTGTGAAATCTCATCCTGTGAATCTTTGCTTTTATCTCTATGTTTTAGAATATTGTTTTTTATCTTTAAGCTCGGATGATGTTTCATTACGTTGATGTTTCCTCCTCTTCAGGTCAACAAACCCTTCGGCAAGGTTCAGGTCTACACCGCAGACATTTCTGAGATCCCCAAGTGTAACTGCAAGCCGACGGACGAGAGGCCGTGTGGGTTTGAGTCCGAGTGTCTGAACCGTATGCTGCAGTACGAGTGCCACCCTCAGGTGTGTCCCAGCGGGGAGCGCTGCTGCAACCAGGACTTCACCAAACGTCTTTACCCAGAGACCAAGATCATCAAGACGCCCGGCAAAGGCTGGGGCCTGATCTCCTTGCGGGACATCAAGAAGGTGAGAAGGGAGAGGCTGTCCGAACATAACACAGTCTTTTAGTGGAACCATATAATATCATAATAATACGTGTCCTCGTGTCAAGAGTCCAGAAAACTAAAAGCAAGATTCATCTTTATTAAAGGTCAATATGTCTGTTATGTTCTTGGAACTGAATACTAGACATATGAAGACTGTGCTGCTTATGTTTTTGTCTGAAGGACACAAAGATGGACAGCTCAGTCATCATGATGACCACAAGCAGAGTTTACAATATTAGTAATAATTTCAGGCTTGGAATTTCTGCGCCAGAGAACAGTGACAGGTTTATTTTTTCAATTGTAAAATAACAAATTAGCTTCATGTTACAGGCTGTGTAAAAGAAACTAATATCAGCCAGTATATCAGTATTGTGTTTAGGAAACATTTCCGGTGTTTAACAAGTTTAAAACGGCCTCTTTGGCAGCTCATCTCCCTGGAGCACGATGTGTTACAACAAAGTGCCTATAAAAATATAAGCACTGTTTTCATTTTCATATAAAGGTTTTTTTTCTCTTCATTTAAAAAGCCTCTACATCACCTTTTTATTTAAAAACTTCCAAGGGGTGTGAATACGTCTTTACGAATGTTGTAGCCAGTATCTTGCGTTCTTGCATCGTTGTCAATCCTGTGGCTCGTCTCCGTCTCGGGACACTCCGTAGTGTCAACACGCCGCTGGTCTCTGGTCTGATGGTAGCGTTTCTCAAACAGGGTGAGTTTGTGAACGAATATATCGGAGAGCTGATCGATGAGGAGGAGTGCAGGGCGAGGATCAAGTACGCCCAAGAAAACAACATCACAGACTTCTACATGCTCACCATTGACAAGGTCAGTAAAAGCCACATCTATATTGTGTGTCTCTTGTATGTATGTGTGTGTGTGTTTGTGTGTGTGTGTGTGTGTGTGTGTGTGTGTCGGCAGTAGTACCCAGTCCACTAGGGGACTAGTTGTCGTTGCTCCTCAGTGTGTCAGGGTGCTGCTTTCTCAGCAGCAGTGCCACTTCTACTGGGAGCCAGAGCAACAAAATGGTATTGCATTGGGAATGTTGCATGACAGATAACTGTGACATTACAGTAGTCAATACTACAAATACCAGTGGAATCCAACAAATGGATCTTAATGCTAATGATATAAATACAGACGTTGATATCACTATAAAAGTAGTTTAAGTAAAACAGGAGTTTAACAGGAGTAATTCATTCATATTTCCACAGTCTCCTGCTTCTAATATCACAAGTTTATTATAAAGTAAACTGCAACAAGTGACTGATTCAGAACGCCTCCATCTTTTTGTTTTTCCAAGGACCGGATCATCGACGCTGGTCCAAAGGGAAACTACTCTCGCTTCATGAACCACAGCTGTCAGCCCAACTGTGAGACGCAGAAGTGGACGGTGAACGGCGACACACGGGTCGGCCTGTTCGCCGTCTGCGACATCCCCGCAGGTGAGACGAGTTTCAAACGAGGTTGCAGATTCTTTTTTTTTTTTTTTACGACAGAATCACAGAGATAAGATGGACACTTATTCCAGAGCAGTTTATTTTTATTTATTATTTTTGTGTTTGGATCGCAGGGACTGAGTTGACTTTCAACTACAACCTGGACTGCCTCGGCAATGAGAAGACAGTCTGCCGCTGCGGCGCCCCAAACTGCAGCGGTTTCCTTGGTGATCGCCCGAAGGTGAGTTTTTAGTCTCATCACAGAATAATTACACTCTTAATTACAGAATAACTTGGTATGTGTTTCATACAGTGTAAGTGGATTCAGCAGTGTTTTTCCTTTTTTTTCCCTTTGTCTTTCTTTCATAAGAAAATGGAACTTTACTTTAAATTTCAAGATTTTATACATGTCAAAATACCAGTTCAGTTGTATATCGTATGAGAAATGCTCCCCATGTTGCTCAGATTGATTCCAACGTGTCGTCTCATCCGCAGAACTCAAACGGCCAAACAGCTGAGCCAAAAGGGAAGAGGTTGAAGAGAAAGTATAAAAGGAGGAAAAGTGAGGGAAAGAAGAAGTCAGAGGACGAGTGTTTCCGCTGTGGAGATGGAGGGCAGCTGGTGCTCTGTGACAAGAAGACCTGCACCAAAGCTTATCACCTGTCCTGCCTGAACCTCACCAAGAGACCCTTTGGTAAGAAACGCAGCAAACGCAGCTGCCGGCGGGCATTTTTCCACTATTTTCTGACATTTATCATTGACCAATGATTAGCAGATTAATCAATAATGAAAATCGTTGCCTTGTATTCTAACTTATTGTCTAAATCATTCATCCGCACCCCCTGCAGGCCGCTGGGACTGCCCCTGGCACCACTGTGACGTCTGTGGGAAGAACTCTGAGGCTTTCTGCCAGCTCTGCCCAAACTCCTTCTGCAAGGCTCACCAGGAGGGGGCGCTACGCCCCTGGCCTCCCACAGGACAGCTGTGCTGTCTGGAGCACGACGAGCTGGACGGAACAGACAACCAGGATCAGAACGTCAACTTGGATACGACTGCATCAACCGCCACTACTGCCGCCATCGTCAGTCGTCCTAAAGGCTCCAGGAAGGCGGAAGGAGCCGAAGCAAAAACAAAGGGCTCTAAGAGGAAAGCAGCAGAGGCCTGAAGTGACCTTTGACCCCTCAGAGAGCCAATAGACCAAACTAGACTCTGACACCTCCTTCCCCGTTCATGAACAAATATGAACCCCACGTTATATTGTCTTCAAGATCACAAAAACCAAGGCACTGTACATCTTCGTCATCAGGGAATGCCGCTGATCTCTCACATGCTCGGCAACGACCTCTAGCTCGCCGCTCAAACTCTTCTGTTTTTATGTTTTTTTTAAAAAAAAAACGTTTTCAGGTTTATTTCTACTTGTCTGCACTGAGGCGAACCATCTGTGGTAAAGCACAAAGCAGCAGAGCGAGCGCAGGTCAGGAAACTTCAGCTAGTGGATTCTAACTCACTCTTCCACCAACCAGACTGCCTTTTTTATTTTTTGTTTTGTCTTTGTTTTGATCATTTGACTTTTTTTTTTTTTTTTTTTTTTTTTTTTTTTTTTTAAATAACAAAAGAAACCAGTTGGTTTCTGCAGAAAAGAAACTGAAGCAGTCAGCCGTGATGCCTAGCATCCAGCGTCACCGTCTACTCACTTGAATCTCCCCCCTCACTCAACACGGATCATTTTGAACAGCAGAGTTTTATAGCTATATCTATATATGTGTATATCAAAGACCAAAATTATGATTACTGGAATAGTGTAAGACATCAAACAGGTTGCCAAATGGATTGTTTTTATTTTTATATATAGTATATATATGCCAGATGTAATATCAAACACCAAGACACTATGGACGGGCCTCAGATGGCCTCTTTACTTTTATTTGGTAGCCATAGGTTACATTTAACTGTAGACATGTGTTTGCTATTTTACAACCTGTTATTTTTGTTTTAGTTCAGTTTTATATTTTAGATTTGAATCTTTTTTTTTTTTTCTTTTGTTTTTGTATCAGGATGCTGAACAATGGCGCTACAAACCGTTTATCTACCTGCCTGTCCAATGAACGAGGGATTACAGAAAGTATTAAAGCGAGAGCGCTCTGAAACTGCCGTCTGACGTAAAAACACTACTGGGAGGTTTAAAGGTCTTTGACGCTCTCTGCTCTATGGGTAAACCAGATAAATGAAGGAATGACAGCGATTCTCTTGAACCTTTTTTTTTATATATATATATATATATATATATACATATATATATATATAAGTGGAGTTTTGAGTCCTAACCTTAAGGTGCTGTTTGTTTTTCCACTGAAGTATCTGAAATCTTGAGGTACAAAGATTTTGTATGTATAAATACACATCATGCTGTTTGGAATCTGAAGGCCTCTCGATGTCGCTGACCGAGCTTTTTAATGGTGATAAAGTCATCGAGTAGTTCATCTGTAACTGAGGTTTTGAAAGGGAGACCTCAACTTTTTTTTTTAATCCTCAGGAGGTTTTTAGTCTCAGAACTGCATCCTGCTGACTGTGTAATACTCTAACGTGAGCTGACAGCACACTGGCTAACACCTGTAACTCAAATTTTGTTTAAGTTCTTCATGTTGTCACTTGATGAAGCTTTACAAGGTCAAGGAAAGTACTGTGGCCAATTTAGAACCAGACTTGGCTCTTCAACATTTATCAGACTCTGTTTTTTTTTCCCCGAGAGCTCCAGCTGCACTTAATTCTCAGCTGTACATTTACCGTGAAGTGCAGCCATGTTTACACATCTGTTTGGCGCGAGGATCAGCCTGATGTGAAGGCAAACATCTGCCCGCGTCACTGTGTCCGCAGGCCAGAATTTACACTGAGACAAATGTGGGCCCCACATCGTGTTTGCAGAAGCTCAGAGTAGTTTAAAGTCTGTGCAGCCCGTCGTGCTAATTCTGTGTTCATGTGGTGTTCAGGTTACTGTAATCACCAGGTCCTGACTGGTAAAAACTGTCACGTCAAAACCAAGTCATAATTACAACAGGGGAGCTCTTGATTTCTGCTAAAGGCCCAATATGACTGACTGGAAGTTTTTGAGTTAATATTGATTTGCATCATAACAGCTGTACATTTACTATATATGCAGACAGCACATATACTTTAAAACCCTAAAGTCCATTAGACAAGTCCGTTATAAGCCTAAAACTTAATGGTTATTAAAGCAGGGTTAGTCCATCAATCAGGAAACATCTGCAAACACTGATTATTGAATATTTGTTTTGTTTTTCAAGGAAAAATGTCAAATGGCTGGAACAGTTGTGACGTTTTGTCGTGAATATAAAGTGGATATCTTCATGTTTTGGACTGTTAGTCAGACAAAGCAAGCACTTTTCTAAACTTTCTTTGGGCTTTTTTCACTGTATTCTGACATTTTTATAGAGGTGTCATTGAATGGAGAAAGTAACCGTTAGCTTCAGTGCTAATGGAAACGGTGCTGTATTGTTTTTCTGTAAAACTTGAGGTTTTCTGGTGACGTGAAAGCAGTGATAACGTACTATGTAAACGGATCCAGTCAGATTGAGTTTGGCCTCATCTCACAGACAGTGAACGCATCACCACCAGGGCTGTCGATGAAGTCGCTGTGTAGCACGGGTCACAAGGAGAGTAGGGAAAAAGGCACCAACTCCCTGAATGTGACACATTTAAGTTTAGTTCTTCACCATCCTCTGGTCCAGTTATTGTCGAGTGACCTCTTAGTTTCGCCTCATGATTCCTTGTGGAGTTGCCAACTTTTCAGTCTTGAAAGTTGCATCAATAATCTTACAGATTTACCTTCCCCTTTACATGAAAATTATGAGCCTCAAGCCAGTTAGAGATGAAACAGGAGCTGTTACAGTAACGCTAAGATGAATCTGAAAATTTCCTAAAATGGCCACCGATCTTAAATCTCAGTTGGCTCAGGTGAAACGTTTTGTGTTGCTCAAACAAAAGCTAATTTAATTTCTAACACAAGTTAATACATTTTTGCTCCAGCAGTGATTTGATGCAAGTTTCTCAAACTTTTTTTTTTTTTTTTTGACTGAATCACATTGAAGTTTCTGTGTCAAACAAACAGAAACATACTGAAGAGTTCACATCACGAGGTCAGTTATGAGTTATGTTACGAGTTTTCCAGTATCACTGAGGCTACAGACATTTTCCTGTGCCTTTTTTTTTATTATTTTAATTTCATATTTGACATGGACAAAAAAAACCATGGGACTATTTCACCTTGAATCTGTCCAAACAGGCATGTTTTTATTTCAAAGCCACTATCAGTGCTATTTTTTTATTTTATTTTTTTCGTCGTCTTCTGGGATCTCAAACATCTCAAAAAAAAAACAAACCAGATTAAACTTGTACAGACACAACAGGAGGCTGTTTTAAAATAACTGCACCTTCTTTTTCCTTTTTCTTTTTTCCTGGGCATGTGAATGGGACATGTCCAGAGGTGCAGCATGTATGAGTATTGTGCGACTTTCTAAGTAACGATCTTCATCCTAACCTTGATTTGTGTTGAGTGAATGTAGTCCAGCCAGTTTTTATTTTTTATTTTTGTTTTATTTTGTTTGTTTTGTTTGTAAGCACTGTAATTCCCTGTAGAGCTGAAGTGTAATGTGTGCGTAGGGGTTTCATTCTGTAACTACTACTAATATGTACATAATGTATAAGTGGTTATAGTGATATTGTAAATATACAAGTTCTGACATTGTATGTAAATTTTTTTTTCTTTTTTCTTTTTTTGTTTTTTTTTTTTTTTTTTTTTTTTTTTTTTTTTTTTTCTTGATGCAGTGCTGAAACACTTTTGTGCAGGATCTCACATCTGTTGAATCGTGCAATAAAAAGTGGTCGAACATGCATCCACTCTGCGCTCCACTGAACCTCTGTTTTTATCCAGTGTTGATTTTTATATTTAACACTTGTGACAACTTTTCATTTTTAGGGGCTTCAAAGCAGCTTTCGTGTCTTTTCCATTCATTTAAAGTTTTAGATATTTTTTAAAACATGTTGCTTTAACTTTTCTGCAAAAACTTACACCCTCGCCTTTCATTTTCACAGGCAGTCTCTTTCCTGTTTAATTCCACTGACTAGAGCTGAAACAATCAACAGTCGGTCAACAGTTAATCAGCAACTATTTTGAAAATCTATTTTTGAGGTAAGAATATTTGCTTCTTTTTTTTTAAATTACAGGTCGGACAAAACGAGACATTTAACTTAGGTTTTAGGAAACTGAATATTTTGCCATAAATGTAAAATATTAAATATAATATAAAAATGATTTAGTTGCAGCCCACTGGTTCTTCTGGAGATTTCTGCCCCCACCTCAACACAGTGGAGGAGACCACAATCTCCCTGATTTAAATAATTATTAGTCTTTGAATGGCAGTTAAAAATGTCAGTTTACCTCCACTGTATTAGGGCGGGGTCACAAAACCGAAACGGACACGATCTGCAGATCTTTATGACATCGAATTATACTGGATGTCTCAATATTTCAAAATTACCCCAAAAGTCAATCTGATACTTTCAATGTCTTTGGAAACTTTTGGCTCGTGATTGGAATTTAAAACAAAGTTGTGCAGAGTTTAAAATAATTTATTTTGAAAGTTCACAAAGATGGACCAAATGATGATCAGAACAATAATCAATCAATCCTCCAAAATGTGTAAACACACTGTAACCTTGGTTCTTTGTTTGTTTCATTAGATATTAACTAATTTTTATCGATTTTATTCAGGAAAAGTTTCACGGCTTATTCATAAAATTTAACTTCAAGAACTTTACTCAATTAAAAACCAGGCAAAACATTCATATTACTCACAGATGTCAGAAAATGTGCACAGCTACAACTAACAGTTATTTTCATTATGGATTTAACTTTTTATTTTGTCAATTTAAGAAATTACAAATGTCTTGTTTTGTCCAAAATCCAGAGATTCAGTTGATTGATGATTATAAAACAGAAAAGCAGCAAATATCTCATAAGAGAAGCTGGAATGAGTCGATTTTGTTGTATTTTTGCTAAAAAAATGACTTAAAACTGTTGATCGATTAAATCAACTCGTCATTCAACTGGTATTTATACTAAAAAACTTAGGCATCAACACAAAGACT